ACACAGGTAACGCAGCTTTAAAGGAGCTATACCTGTTTCTGCAATGTTTTTTTCAGTTTGAATGTTAAGCACCACCCCCAACTCGCACACAGGTCTCTTATTTCCCCTACGCTCTTATACCACAAAGCCATCCATCCATCCATTTTCTTCCCCTTAATCCATTTCTGGGTCGGGGGGGTGGCAGTTAGAGCTGCACCCAGTTCACAGAGCACTAGCCCCTCACTGATCCTCCTGCAGATGGTGAGTCCACAGGAGCTGAGATCTTTCAGCGGGGTTTTGGGCAAAGTGGGGTTAAGTGTCTTGCCCAAGGACACAACGACAGCAGACATCAGTGGGAGTCGTGAAGTAGGTCTCGTGGTGGATTTGAACCTGCGACCCTCAGGCCCAAAGACCTCCACCAACTGAGCTACTGTCGACCACAAAGCCATCTAGTTTTATCTGTGATCTGATGCGTATGTAAACATCAGCATTAACGCAACTTCTTGTAAGCTGTACAACAATCACTGATGAAATGGTACAAAAGCAACGCACTGCTAACAAAACATATAACTGAAAGATTACCGCTAGTTTCGCGTCCAAATGTAGTCCGAGCATAGATAGTCCAAGGTGGACCCGCACCCGCAGGTCTCTTCAGAGGATACAATGTAAGCTAACGCTACGTATATTCACCCGGGCTTGATTTCTTCTTTGATCATTAATTCGCTTTAGTTCCCTCTTCTCTTCCTCACTGTTGTGTTGTTTGGGCTGTTTTGCTGTGTCTGCAGTTACAGCCAGACGAGGAATAGCCACTCTCTGCTAAGATGCTGCTCTTGTTTACCAGCGCTGCAGAGGCTAGAGGAGGCGTGGCCTGTTTGAAACAGCGCCGCTCCTCGTTCTGTGACCGTTTCTACTCAGCACTTTTTACGGCCTGAAATCATACACAAGCTGAATCAATGAGCTCAAGTTTTCAATTAAATTACGGATTTTATTACAACTTGTATGTAGTAATACGCATTTTTTATGAACTCATTAGAAAATAAATCGGGTATAGCATCTTTAATGTCGATATAACATTCATATTACTAAAGGTCAGAAAGCAGATTACAACATAGTATACAGTATTAAACAAAAACAATAAGTGGCTGATATAATAAAGGAACAAACCCAAAAGGTCTGTGATCTTTGTTTGCTGATTATGTTTGTAAGTATATCTGCTCTTAGCCCTTTTCTCTACCTACTAATAATTGATCTGTCCTGTAACTCCAGATTACGTCCCTGGTTCTGAAGCTGTGATGTGTTGTTTGTTTGATGCAGTTGATGGATGGTGCTTTGTGTTAATGTGTAGTCCACTGTGAGGTGACTTCTGTGAGGGACAGAAAACAGGCACTCTGCAGTAAAGGACATGTCCAGGGCATCTGACGAGGAGCAGGTAAAGACTGCACCTATCATGCTCTTTCTTTGATCTGGGTTTTTGAAGGTTTAAAGAGGCAGTGGACCTTTTTTCTGTTATTACACAGTACATTCTGTTAAACTTGAATGATTCATAAAGGAAATTACTTGGTTTATAGTTCCCCTTTGGTTTTATTTGATGTAGTGCTGTCTGTAGATTGTGCTGTGTTATGTGAAAGACTGTTTTCTAAATATTGACGGGCTGCAGCTATTGTATTTAATGGAGTAATCTATCAAATATAATCTTCATTTATTAATCTGAGTAAATCTGAGTTTCTGCAAGTAAAATTGTTATTTTATTTGCAAAAAATGTCTGTGTGAGGAAAGCACCGCAATAGTTCTGTGTGCTTGCTGCACTAGAGTTTCACATGGTGAAGTAATTAATTCACGGTCCGAGCTGAAGGACCTTCTTACTGTGAGTTAGGAGCACTACTCACTCAACCACTGTGCTGCTATTAATTAATTCTGCTGTTGTGTTTTGTTATGTTATGTTATGCCCATATTGATCCCTTTCTATGAGTGCTGCAATTTGTGTGAAGCTGATTCAATGATATGGGCCAGATTGCAAATGCACAAACAAATGCTGTCCCAGTTTAGATAAAACAATTTTATTATCTATTGTATTTTTTGAGCACTTTGGTATAATGCAAAAACAAAGAAATGCTCAAAATGAGTAGCTAGAAACATTGAATTTCACAGGAAAAATATAAAATATAATAAGTATTCAACTGGGAGCTCATTGTGGGTCATTAACAGATTTCAGCAGGACTTTTAGGTGATGTGTTATTTGCAGCCTGTCAATGTATTCCAGGCCCATTCTGTGTCCAAGAAAAGGATAAACAAACTTCCCTTTGCTGCTTTAGCAATCAGACGAAGTACAGGGTGCGGCATTGTTGTAAATAAAGGTTTGTGGCTTATGGCATTTAACACGTTTTAAAATAGCCAACAAGATGATTTAGAGGTATCAAATCTTTTCATACCACCTGCTATCTGTGTTCATGCATTAATTATAAATGTCTATCTCAGGCCTTTTGTCATGCTCTTGCAGTGACTCATGTGTTACAGAAGACTGGTATTGTCCTCTAGGAATACTGATCTGTAATTCCACAAGCAGGTGTAATGTGACCACCCTAACACTGAAAATCCTTCACGTCTAATGTATGAAATAATAACTTTTTTTTTTGTTTAAAAGGTTCCATGTACAGTAGATTAGTGTAATAGTGTTAGATGTTCACGTTTGCGTTAGAAAATAATGAATCCCTGTCCAAACTTAAAGTGGTAAGTGTTAGTTTGGCTGCCGCTCCAACCACTACTATCCACTCACTCGAAGTGGGTGAAGTCCTGCCAAAAGTAACAGCAATTTAGAAGTGAGCCAGGCTCCAGTTCCTAGCTTTGAAACAATCTGAGTGCTGAAATATTAAGTTTTGTAATGATACCTGGGTTATCTCCAAATGTTGTCTCAGAGTGATAGCCAAAATACTATGCAACCACAGGAATGATAGGGAAGCAAGAGTAACGTCATTTTATTATTATCTTAAGACCTCCTGGTCAATTGACCTTGACTGTTTTTTTTTAAATAATCAGCATCCCCTATTTTAATAGTTCTAAGCTGCTAATATGGGACAAATTTACAGTGTCTTTTGTAAGAAACAGGCAGCGCATGTAATCCTTGGTTGGGCCTCACAGTCTTGAGCTCCTCTTTCCTGTGTGAATATGAGACTGAAATGCATGGCAGTCACTTCTCCTGATGATTTAGCTCCTTGCTTTGCTGTACTCTCGCACTCATGCAATCCACAGGATTCAATTGCACTGTGTTGGGTACAGTCGCGCATAGATCTGCAGTATTTTACAGCCTCTGTGGTTTAAACAAGTGCAATGCAACCTCTTCACACATGATCACGAGTCCTGCGTTTGCTGTACGGGTGCGGGTGAATCCAAAGCGCTCAGATACTCGGAAGGGGAAGATGAGGCATGTCCTCTCGTTCAGGATTTCTTCCTCTGGCTTCTCTCCAATACCCCTGCTTCTTGTTCGGGAGGGGTTTTTCCAATCTCCATGCCCATTTTTTTCTATTTCTGTCTGCCAGGGTATTCAGGTTGGTGTGTATCCCTTACACACCACACTCTGTTATCTAAAAACTCTTCATGCAGACACACAGAATCTAGATTTAACCATTCTTCAAATCTCAGTTGTTACAAGTGATATTTAGTATTTTTATACCTTCTCTTCTAAGAAGTTCAGATTCCAGTTACAATTGTGGGGACCGTGGCCCAGGGTGTTAAAATTGCAAAGTTCCAAAGACATTTCAGCCACCTTGTTTGAGCAAATGTGAGAATTGATCATTGTGAGATAGCCCTCTAGTACCTTTGGAAGTGATAAGCAGTATTGTTTGACCCAGGACAGTTGTGGCAATAGTAGAAACTCAACTCACTAAAAAGGGTAAATGAAGAGAGAATTTAAAATGCAATGTAAAAGGTTGTCGGTAATAATTTGGGTGATACACCATACAACACTCAGAACTTGTCAAATTATAGCAATTATTTTCATGGAAGTGATGTCTTCTCAATTGAAACGGGTGGATCTGTGCTCCTTTCTCTGTGAGCCCGCCTCCTCCCTCCCACTTGGTGACGTAGCCTCACGCTGACTTTGTTGTAAATACAGCGTGGGGGTTCGGGGACATAGCGGCACATCAAACCTCAGAATAAAAACATTTCCACGTAGAGCCCTATGTCCTCGATCCAGATCCGGATACTAATCGTTTAGATAACAGTAGTATTGTGCGGGCAGTTGGTAGCACTGTACTTACAGATCTTGACTCCTAGTTAGCGTATTTTATTGTGGGAATAACACCAGGTTTCAAAATCAGCTTTTGAGTAAGTCCGGATTCATGGTAACTTTTAGTCTTTAGTGAAGTGTCACTTGCAGATAAACAGATTCGTCACAGATTTCAGACACAGATCCTTGTGAATAAAGTCGAGCCACATTCGTTCCATTGCTTTGTCTTTGGGCAAGCCGACTTATTTACACTTGAAAACATATTTTCCAACTTGCGTGCATGTTCGGGCACGTTTGTGGGCGTGTTTGTTTATTCTCTCTCTGTCAATCAATGCTGAGCGCCTCCTGGAGGCGGGCTTTTGCAGCTGGTGCTACGTCACAAATTGATGCCACATCACAAATTGAAGCGTTCTGGCTGCCTCTTGAGAATGAAAGAGAAAAATTGCTCTCTAACTGAAGCTTGAGGGAATCAATTAAACAACTAAGAGCATAATTCTACATAATAAACTATCATGACTAGGCCCAAAATTACATGCCAGGAATATTTCTTAATATCCATTTATGACAGTCAGCCAAGTAAATGATAAATACATATTCAGTGCAAGTCTTATGAATGATTGATCACAGCTGCAATCATAATGAATTGCAATACACAACAGTGTTAGGTTCAGTCCAAGTATCCAAGTAGTGTTATTTATGTGGATGAATCTCTAGTAAATTATTTCTAAGATTTTTAGGCATTCAATTATCAGTATTATACGTTTCTATGGGATATTTATTCAGTGTTTACTCATTACAGCTGTACGGAGAGTACAGGGAGCAGCTCGGAAACTTTGCCCGTCGAGAGGCAGCACGTTTACTCACAGAGAGACAATGGAGGAAAAGAGCCGGAGAAGGCAGCACGCACAGTGGCCGCAAAGGACTCGGGCGGAGGCATCACCATCAGCCTTCGACTCTGGAGTCACACCACAGCTATGCGTCCTCTACCATGAAGCCCCGCCCATACTCCAAATGCCAAGGTGAAAAAGGAAGTCATTAATTCCTTAAATAAGTTAACAACAATGCAATAGTAGGGGTGGTTATATAATGTGTGATCAGACCGTACGATCAACTGTCATTCTGGAAAAAAATATTTATAGTATGGGCAGACTAATCAACGTTAGTGATGTTGCGTGACGTTGACCAGTTGGCAGAGTACTGGGAAGGAGGGGAAGGACTGAGGGAAGAAGGCCTGTCTGGACGGGGTGAGAAATGGTTTAAGAGTTGACTCCACTTGAATGCACAATAACTTATGATTTACTAATAAACTAATTTATAGTGGGAGTTTACCTACACTGTGTAAAATAGAACATCTGATTTATTTTTTCCTGCTGCCTGAAATTAAACTTAAACAATAAATAATTCAGGATTAATATCGCTGCTGACCTAAAACAGGTGAGAAAGAATAAATCCATTTTGTAATCTTGTGGTTTCTGAGCCACTCATCCCTCCCATTGACATGTCATGGTTTGACCGAGTTGCAGGCGAATTTATCCAATCATCGTGATAAGTGACATCTCAAATATATTCTGTTTTCCCAAAAAAACAATGAGAAGTTTTATAAAATTACCTTAAATGTAGTCCAAAACCAAAAATAAAAGTTATTGTAATATACAAAAAAACCCAACAACAAGATATGATTTATTGCCACAGACTGTTTGGCTCGTGTGCGGCGATACATAGTGAACAAGATGGGGGACGACTGGATTTTTCTGGTTCTTCTTGGTCTAGCTATGGCTTTAGTCAGCTGGACGATGGACTATGCCAGTGCCAAGAGTCTCCAAGGTACAAGAAAAAAATAAAAATAAACTGGAAATATTACCTTGTAATACAACCTTTAACATACTCCTGTTCTACATGTCTCTTCAGCCTACAAGTGGATACATGGGGAGCTTAAAGGCAATGTGCCACTGCAGTACCTTGCATGGGTCACTTATCCCATGATCCTTGTCATGTTTGCATCGCTCTTCTGTCACCTGGTTTCCCCACAGGCTATCGGTAAGCTCTTACACCCCAACAGCTCTCTCTGCATTCCTTTTACATAAATGAGTGCAAATGCGTTTGTGTGAAAATGGTGAGGCCGCAATAAATAATAAATGAAACAGTAAAGCTACTTCATGTGTGAACAACTGTGTAAAGGCAAAGGCAACCCTTACACTATGTCTACGGTATATTATTTGTGATTAAATACGAGAATATTACAATATCATGGTTATCATGCTTTATTTGTTCCAACTTTTGTTAATTTAGGTCTACAGCAAATCAACTGATCAACACCACACTGTATTCCATTACCTTTAGGAAGGCGGACTAAAAAATAGAGGAGCATGTTTGACCTTGAGTGAAGCAAGGTGGAACACAGCCATGTGTGAATGTAAAACAAATACTGGCATGCTTTTGTGTACCATGTTGTAACATTCTTAGTTCAAGTCAGGGAACAATCCATCTTCTTTACTCCTATCTGCAGGTTCTGGTATCCCTGAGCTGAAAACCATTTTAAGAGGTGTTGTGCTAAAGGAATATTTAACCCTGAAAGCCTTTGTGGCCAAAGTCATTGGACTCACAGCAGGTCTGGGCAGTGGCATGCCAGTCGGAAAAGAGGTAAATATACTAGTAGTGCGTAAAGAATGTAGAGGTTTGAATGACACTGTATTATTTGTGAGTGAAAAAAAAATCGATTATTGAGAGTAATAGTGCAGCCCCACAGCAGAGACTTTCACTGTTTCTGTTTTTTTTTCTTCCCAAAGTGGGGGGTATAATAAATCATCTTCTGTCATACTTTTCCTCACTTAATGCTCTCACGAGACCAACCAGAATTATTCAAGTTCTCAGCAGCAGACTACATTCTTTTTCCCCATTACAGGGCAACTGTCACATTCAGCAATTATGTGTGATTTATCTGCTCTGATACATCACGTCCTACTTTCAACTCTTGCATTAGAAATTGTAGTTGTCACACAGAGCGGACTGTGGCAGTGTATCTTACCGTTGTTCTTGTGTCTCTCCCAGGGGCCGTTTGTCCACATTGCTAGTATCTGTGCCGCAGTGCTCAGTCGATTCATGTCCATTTTCTCAGGCGTATATGAGGTAAGATGAGACCCTGACCAACAAAAACATTGTGTCACAAAACAACATAGGTTTGATGTTTGCCAGGTGTTGCCTGCAATGCTTTTTGTGGCATAATATTAAATACCAAATTGGCTGTTTACCATCTTTCTAAATATCAAAGATACACTTTTTGCTAACTGATGGATCTGTCACCAACTAGAGCAGGAGACTACCTGCTTTGCACATAATATAACATTTGTGCGTAAAGGGTAATTAAATTACCTTTTTGGGCTTTTTTTGACAATTGTATTGACAAAAAGATGTGTTTAGACAAAGTGAGAGAATTACACACATAGTATTTGGTATGTGTTACACATTTGGCGAGCCTGTGTTTTGCTGTTTTAAGTAGCCAATTGCCCACCCCACTGAGTGCTAACGCCTTCAAAAGCCCCATTATTGCTTTGTTGTGTATCGTCCTGCACACGTTGTCTGCGTTTGTGTCTCACTATATTAATAGTGTGATGGTAATGTCTGGCATGTCTATTAACAGTGAACTCCCATATCCCTGTCTCTCTTGTCTGTCCGCCCCATCCTCCCCCCATAACCCTTTGCTTTCTGGCTCCCGGCTCTGTCTACACGCTTGGCCCTCGCCTTTGACCCCAGAATGGCATCCATAATCAGGACCTGTTGGTGTGTGCGTGTGCCGTGGGAGTGGCCACCTGTTTCGCCGCCCCAGTGGGAGGCAAGTCTCTCACTTTCTCTTGGCACACTGCTCCTGGTGACAGGACACTGGGCAAAACTGTCCTTCTGTATAGGAAATAACAGAGGATGAAGTAAAACAATAACAATACATCACTTTGATTACTGTGTTCCAACTTGAATTATTCTGGACCTTTTACAGGTATATTATTATTTTAGAATAATGTCATCGATGTGTAAACTGTGTTTGGATCCAATCCTTATATGCTACAAGGTTATTTAGATGTTAAAATTTTTTATGGCAATATTATTGCCTTCGATTAAAATGTGCTACGAACTAAGTTTTTCATTCATGACATTACTACTAACTTAGTATAAATCTCCCAAAGTAAAATGTCTTCTCTGAAACATATATCCTAGGCAAGTTATTTTAAGAACAAAAATATAACGTTAGCGTTCATAAACTAGCACTATCTTTTCTATCCGTAATTAGCTGTTTAGAGGAAAATACTTTCTGAGAAATGATGCTAAGAGTGACAGTGGCATTTGGGGAAGACAGTGCGACCCCAAAGATCCATAGCCCTGATGCTGAAAGCGAACATAACCTGCGAACTCCCCTGAACCACAGATCCGTCCTTCATTGGGCCTTCAACTTCGTACGTATATCCATGGGTAAAATACAGTCTATTGGTAAAACCGAATCTTATAATAATTTTTTTAAAGACTTTGTTTGTTATTTTGCATGCATTAATTAGGAACACGTGCAAATCAACCTATTGAAGAAATTCATGATCACATGTCTTATGTTTAGCTAGTTAGCTTTAATGGGATTGTAGCCGGATGTCTGTGGCTAAAGCATGGCGCTTTGAGGCTTTACCTAATGATTTATGTGATACTTCTTTTTTGATCGTGCTATCAGTATTAATTTACTCTTAATAAACGATATTTATTTACTTTGTGCCATTTTCCCTTTGCTTCCTCTCCTCACTTTGCCTCTTCATCACCTCTGTCACCTGACCCCAAACTCCCCTCGGTGTCCGCTGGTGTCCCCCCCTCCTCACCCGGTCCTTCTCTGGCCGCTCTGGCTGCTCCGGCTCCTGTTCCTGCGTCAGTAGAACCCGTACGGGTACACAGATATTCTGACCGTAGGCTGCGCGGTGGGGGTGGGCTGCTGCTTCGGGACTCCACTAGGAGGTACTGTACTACTGCATGTGCATGTGCAGGGTATTTAACACACACATTGTACCTACAAACAGGCACTGAGCTATTATTGCAGGTATTGCAGGTGAAGTTATTTATAGCTATATATATATATAATCAAACATATATATATATATATATATATAGTTCGATTACAATTTATTCAAAAATGTTCTCTTCTCTCCTCCTGTTCCCTTTACAAACTGCTTTAACCTCCATCCCTCTGGTCTGCTTGTCCCCTCCTCCAACAGGGGTCTTGTTCAGTATTGAGGTTACATCCACCTACTTTGCTGTGAGGAATTACTGGCGGGGTTATTTTGCTGCCACGTTCAGTGCCTTCATATTCAGGGTGCTCTCGGTTTGGAACAAGGATGCTGGTACGACATCCCTCCACACACATCAATGCCAACATTATGCTTAGTTTAGTAACTGCACAACCACAAGAAATATCTCAAGTAAAGAATATGTAATGTATCTATGTTTATCTGTATTTATTACAGTTTTTTTCCTATTGCTTGAACACATTTGGCAAAATGTTGCTCATTTTCCCAAAACTCTACGGACAAGATAACCTGACATAACACAATGTTATGTCAGGTTTTGACATTTGTGTCAAAACTCAAACTCTGCTCTCATAACTAAACATTATTTTAGGACAAAATGATACACAATTGCTTCATGTGAACACACTTTCAGATTGGAAGCAACACACAAGTACTTTTGATAAAACACTAGAGTACTTTATTTATAACACTGCAGTCTATCATGTTCACTGTTTTATTCTGTTTATCAATTCAAGCTCAATGGAACTGTTTTTGTTCTCAATTACCAACAACCAAACATGAAAGTACTGAAAGTACAAATACACTTTTTTCCTATTGCTTGAACACATTTAGCAAAATTTCGCTCATTGTCCCAAAACTCTTAACACAAGATAACCTGACACCCCAAGGGGTTCCCAGGCCAGCTTAGAGACATAGTCCCTCCGTCCCTCCAGCGTGTCCTGGGTCTCCCCCGGAGCTGGTTACGGGCATCCGTAACCAGCTGCCGGAGCCATCTCAACTGGTTCCTCTTGACGTGGAGAAGCAGCGGCTCTACTCCAAGCTCCTGCCATGTGACTGAGCTCCTCACCCTATTTCTAAAAAAGCGCCCACCCACTCTGAGGAGAAAGCCCATTTCGACCGCTTGTATCCGCGATCTTGTCCCTTCGTTCATTACCCAAAGCTCATGACCATAGGTGAGGGAGGGAACATAGATGGACCGGTAAATCAAGAGCTTTGCCCCGTACTCCCGGAGAACCCCACAAAAAGACACCCCGGGGAATACAGTCGAACGCTTTTTCCAGATCCACTATGTACTTTAATGTATTGTATATTTCACAAAACTACCATTTTTCAAAAGGAGCAATAGCCAACTTGCAAGTACATACTCTTGCTCTTCCTGCCTCCATACTTGCAAAGTTCTGAAAATGGCTAAACTGAGGCCTGCTTATGTCTGGCTCATGTGTGTCACGTTTTGTAAGTCGAGTGTGTGTCTCAGTATTTTTAATCACACAATGTGTGTCGCATTTTCGGTTTTAGATTAGTACAAAAAATCCATAACAGAGCACGGGTTCTGTTATTTTGGTCCAAGCATGCAGCGTTCAAGCTTTTGGAAAAAACTGTATAAGCGATTGGGATCTTCAAGGGGTGTGATCCAACATTTTTACTCTATTTCTGATTTCTACTCAATAAAATCATGAATTAATTTGTACATTAATCGTTTACATCATGAAATCACAGCAACATTTCTATATTACCATTATATATTTTTTCTTTAGTAACAATTACAGCTCTCTTCAAAACCAACTTCAGGATGGATTTTCCATTCGATCTACAAGAGCTTCCTGCCTTTGCAATCATAGGGTGAGTATATTGCAATTTTATATATAAAGTTAAATGAATTCTGTTTTAAAAAAATAATTCTCAATTTTTGCAGGATTTGTTGTGGCTTTTTTGGGGCATTCTTTGTCTACCTAAACAGACAGGTGGTGTTGTTCATGAGAAGGCCCACTGCACTCACTCGCTTTCTAACAAAACAGTAAGGTGCTCAACACTGCAGAAGCATGGGTCAAATTACTTCTAACATTTACAAGCAATACATACAGGTATTTTTTCATGAACATTGATATGCCAGTGAGATAAGACTGAGAATTATGATATTGAATCAGAAACTATTTAACTTACAAAAATATACAGTAAGATCCACAAGCAATTTGCATATGAAATGTCTGTTTCCTCTCAATACATTTTGGATATAATCCTGGTCACTCTCTCTTGTCAACATCAAATGTAATGTAATTCTGCTTTTCAAAATATCTATTTGCAACTTACAATGCATTTTAAATTTGAATGGCGACGTTAACAACAAATCAACATTGCATGCGTCATTTTAATTTGCGACTTGTATTCTAAATGTGAATGATTAAAAAAGGTTCCATAGTGGTCACAATACTATTATTTCAAAACGTTATTTGATTCAATGAAATAGGCATTTATTTTAACCTGTATCAAGCTAGATGCAAGATGGAAGATAAGTGCATAAAATGATAAAAATGACTCAAGTTACGTGCCATAAATATTTCAAATTCAAGAGGATATTTTTTGGGCTACCTACAACTAGAGCATCTGCACTAACACTCGCTCTATCGTTACACACAGCAGCAGTCCCGGTAGTTATTCCTGGAAACCGTCTCAGTTTAATTCTTTCTAATGTATCTCAGCTCCACTTTCCCGTCTCATCAGTCTCTGTGGTCAGTCTCAACAGCCTCTGGTGTAGTTATTTCCTCTGTAGAGATTTAGTCTGAGACCAAAGCGTCAGGCAACATTAGCTGTCACCATTAGTGATGCCAACAGAGGAACTGGGAGTCTGTGTCAGCACTGCTCTCACTCAGCACTTCTCCCTGCTCCGAACAGCTCACTGCAAACATGGCAATCTGGAGTTAAAAGCTTATTACATAATATCACTTGATGAACCTGGATTTTTACTGTTTCAATAAATGTATTCTTCTTCCAAGCCAATGTATTAGTTAACATGAAAGAAAGAGAAGATGTAGAGTTGCTTAAACTAAAATGTTGTGTTTGTTTGTGTGCGTGCGTGTGTGTGTGTGCATGCGTGTGTGTCTGTGTGTTTGCATTTGTATGTGTGTGTGTGTGTTTGCATGAGTGTTTGTGTGTGTGTTTGCGTGCGTCTTTGTGTGTGTTTTTGTATCTGTGCTTGTGCGTGTGTTTCTGTGTGTGTGCGTGTTTGTGCGTGTGTGTGTGTGTGAGATCGTGTGCATGTTCATGTGTGTTTGTTTGTGTGCAGTCGACTCATCTATCCCGGCGCAGTGACTCTGATCATCGCCACCTTCACATTTCCTCCAGGGTTTGGACAGTTTATGGCTGGAGAGGTAATGGCATCTCTAACTCAGGATAGCACTGATCTGTTATTTATGTCTGATACCGAACTTGATGCTTCGGCTTTCTATATCTGCCAATCCTTGATATGAAATGATAGCAGTACAGGGGCTTCATTTGTTTTCCTTCAACACACAGCTAACGTATAAAAATAGGTCCACTTTGTACAAGAAAAAGTTAAAACGTTTTGATATTCTGAGTTGATAATAGAAAATAGTCTTATTGCATCAATTGCAGTGGGCTTATCGGTTTAACCAATATGATTGAACCAATACCCTGATTTATCTTGACTGAAGTCACAGTTTTTCAAATCTTTCCAGCTCATGCCTCGAGAATGTATCAACTCTCTGTTTGACAACTTGACCTGGACCAAAATCTCGGGTTCCCCTCTGCCCCCTGGCCTGGGTCGCTCCGCTGCCTGGCTTCACCCACAAGTCAGCGTCTTTGTCATTCTCCTGCTCTTCTTCATCATGAAGGTAGGACATACATTCATGTTTGTTCGTTTGATAGTACTGTACAATAATAAATATTGTACAGTACTGTCAAACAATTAAAATATTTTTTATGTCATAGTTAACTCCTTTAATTGCAATTAATTGCATTTTCCAATGTTCTAAATGTCCCTTGATTTAATTTGAAAATTTCATATCTATCAAATTCCCCTCAAAAAGAAAAGTGTTTGGATTGTCTAATATTGGCTTCTGAATCTCTGCAGTGGAAATAACTAAAACGTCAATGTTTGGGCTGTGACCTCGAGATGTTGTGATTCCTGATGGGCGACTAATCACCATTGAGCACTTTCGTCCCTGACACAGTGCATGCATCGTTTCAGATACGTATCCATGGTAGAAGCTGTTGCACAATGCAGACTGACCCGCAGCCAGGCGCTCGTCAATCCAAAATATGACTCCAGCGGATTTTTGCTGCACTGTGACGCGACTTTAAGTCAAAATACATGCTTGCGTTAATCACACTATAAAATTGACGCTGTTAATGGGTTTGTGTTAACATCGTTATTAACGTGTTTAACTGGCTGTCAGTAATTTATATAGACAGTGGCGGAGGATGGCGCATCATGGGAGGACAAGCCCCTACACGGCATGTACCACCGGAGCATAGCAGAAGTGGCTGATCTCAATCTGTCCTACGAATGGCTAGAAAGGGTTGGCCTACAGGACAGCACAGAGGCACTCATCATGGCTGCACAGGAGCAGGCCCTGAGCACCAGAGCGATAGAGGCCCAGATATTCCACACCAGACAAGACCCAAGGTGTCGGTCGTGCAAAGGAGGACCTGAGACGATCCAACACATAACTGCAGGGTGCAAGATGCTGGCAGGGAAGGCCTACATGGAACGCCATAACCAAGTGGCTGGCATAGTGTACAGAAACATCTGTGCAGAGTATGGGCTGGAAACCCCAAGGTCTAAGTGGGAAAGTCCTCCAAAGGTGGTGGAGAATGAGCTGAAGATCCTGTGGGACTTCCAGATACAGACTGAACTAATGATAACGGCGAACCAACCTGACCTGTGTGGTGGTAGACAAAGGGCAGAGGACAGCCGTGGGGGTGGACGTGGCAATTCTAACTGATGGTAATATCAGGAAAAAATAACAAACAAAAATTGAAAAATACCAAAGAGATGGCCTGGAAGGTAAAAGCAGACAATAGTTTTTTCTTATTGTATCTCATCCAATTTTACTTTCTAAAATATCCTCCAATGGACTCATCTTTTCACAATAATAGCTAGTGCTTTCACTTGGGTGCATTTGAGTGGAATTACATTGACCTGTTCACCTCTGCTCCTAATTTAACAGGATATCATATGTTTTCATTTCTCTCTGATCCATTTGTGTTGCAGTTCTGGATGTCAGCAGTTTCCACGACGATGCCCATCCCCTCAGGCGCATTTATGCCCGTGTTCATTTTGGGTAAGAGGATTTGGTCGTGTGAGAGCTTCTGTTCAAGTTGTTTTACCTAAATGTTTTCCCACCCCCCCAGGGGCATCCTTTGGTCGCCTCGTAGGAGAGATCATGGCCACTCTGTTTCCAAATGGAATCCTGTTTGATGGGATTGTGTACCGGATTCTGCCAGGAGGCTATGCTGTGATTGGTCAGTGCATGGTCAGGGCTGGGGAACAATACATACACGTTTCCATGAAAAGGACTTTTGTTTATTGCATAGTCGTGGAATAACCAAATAAATGGATTTCACGTCAACAATGTCCTTTACACTGACAGTAGACCCATATTGCTGGAAGATTAAACTGCTCAGATAATCACTAACCTTTTAGTAATTATTTCTTATTTGTTAAGTGCATTGCAAGCCAATCAATAACAGATCCATCACTGAAGCCAGTAATTTCAAGTAAACCAACTATTATTATTATTATTATTATTATTATTATTGTTATTATTACTTTTTTCTGATACATGGTCCATAGACATAAAAAGACAGGCCAGGGAACACACAACAGAAAAAACAAACTTTTCATTATAGACTAGAATAGATTATAAGACTGTTCTTTGAATCTTTGAGCCTGTACGCAGCTGTACATGAGGCTAAGTAAGTAAGTAAGTAATCTTTATTTATATACCGCCTTTCACAGACTAGAGTCACAAAGCGGTTTACAATTGTTATTTTTGGGCATTTGTCCTCTCACTCCACACAGAGATGGGAGCGGGGTCGCCGAACAGGAGGCACATGCCAGACCTATTGTACATATTTTTAGAGGTAGGGGAAACCGGAGTACCCGGAGGAAACCTACACAGGCTGCAGGGCAGGTGGGAACACCCACATTCACAAATTTTGTCTCTTGCTACTCCACGGCTTCCCTTGTCATCATTATAGCCACATACAGTCTACAGTATGCTGCTGCTTTTTATGTTGTCTCCATAAGTGCGCAGTGTACATGGGTATAATGGCAAATAATAAAAGTTAACTTTATTGTGCATTCTCCAATAGGAGCCGCCGCTATGACCGGAGCCGTCACACATACAGTCTCTACTGCAGTGATCTGCTTTGAGTTGACGGGGCAGATTTCTCATATCTTGCCCATGATGGTGGCTGTGATCCTGGCAAACATGGTGGCTCAAGGCCTGCAGCCCTCCCTGTATGACTCCATCATCCAAGTGAAGAAGCTGCCCTACCTGCCTGAGCTGGCCCTCGGCCACATCAGGTACAGCCATCTATGTTGTGCATAACTAATATGGCGCCATTATACTTTTTCTCATTTGTACATTTCTTCATTTATGATACTGTGTTATACTGAGTTAGTCCCATTTTATCCACAGCAAGTACAACATCTTTGTGGAAGATATTATGGTGCGTAAAGTCAAGTTTCTGTCATCTGAATCCTCCTACAGAGAACTAAACCGCCTTTTTGACGCAACAACCCTGAAAACAATTCCACTCGTCGACTCTAAAGGTAAGTAAAAATGAATAAACTAATTTGGTAATATGCTGTGCTGTGGGGGATTTGTCATTATTATTAACTTTGTAGCTGTGTTTATTTCATATGGACAAGACTCAATAATGTTTAGCCTGAGACTTACTGTAGGTCATCAAAGTACGTTATAAAGGAAAATGTGTCAGAAATGAATTCTTTGATCCCTTTTTATGGTTTGTTTTGCTCATGCTTCTTTTGCAATGTGACACCAGAAACGCCTCCACACTCCCCAACTATAAATCCAGCAGGTTGCACTAAGACATTTTGCATTCTGCAGAATCCATGATCCTTCTGGGCTCCATTGAGAGAACAGAGCTGCAGGCCATCCTCGACTGGTGGCTGTCCCCGGAGCGTCGTGCCTTTGAAAGAGGGCAGACATCACCGGGCCAGGCCTCCAAAGTCAGCTGGGAGTCCTTCACCTTTGTGGATGAGGAGGGCGGAGACGACACCAAAGCCAAGGTGCAAAACAATACTGTGTTGTGCTGTGTTTTGAGGACAGGGCACACCAATCTGCTATCTGCAGCTCAAGGAAGTCACATTTCGTCTCATTGGAACCTGAAAGTCTAAACAATCCCATGCCTGACGAACATAAACTCACGACCAATGAAAGCTCCAAACCAGAGAGACAAACCTCTACGGCTTACGGCGATGTCTGATTGGTGTCCTCTGGCCTTAAGACAGTATTCAGGGAGCCATTTGAATTAGTCTCAAATGACTCCCTGAACAATATTTGTGTTAGTCCCAAATTGCTTGTGAATATGGAATGTTGATCATAACACATGGAAACTTGTGTTTATTATGTGTTTGACAATATAAATATGATAGTTGTTTTACATATGAATAAAACAAACTGCATAGATCCATGACCTGTCTGCTTGTGCGGAGTGTTTAGTTGAAGTGTTTTGTGCGTAGACTCCTGCGCTGGAGGAGTGTAACGGCCCTGTCCCTTCTCCAAAACCCCAAGAGCCTTCGTCCAACCACCGAGGCTCAGGTATCGCGTGCAGCCTGTCTTTCAAATGTCACTGCTTTAAAAACTCCTTCTTTGTTGCTCTTCAGACAAACGTAAGCTGCCATCTGTGAGGCATGCTTTACAAAGACTTTTCTCCTCCACATCGGCAACTGGACAGGCAGATAGTCAGGTAAGAACCTGCTCAGCGGAATATCAGCTCAGCGCTGACACTTCAGACAGTTTCACCATCCTCACGTGCTGCAACTCAATTATGTCAGAATAAAAGGTCACGTGCACAAAGTGAGTCAAAAGGTCACAATATTTATGGTGAAATTTGAGTTACAATGTCAAAATATTTTTCTATTACGAATATTATGATATTCAATGAAGGTGTTTTTATAATACGCCTTGTGCATTTGTGCGTTCATTACATCGGCACACTTCCCATTTGCTTGTTCAAAGATGTTTTCAATGACTTGGATTGGAAGTATAAGTTCATTAATTCATACATCTTCCTCCCCTTTATTAATCCATTTCTGGTTTGGGAGGTTGCATCAGAGCTGCTACCCAATCTTCATAGCACCAAAACTATAAGTTCTCAGGGGCATTTGCATTGCTGTTCTTTCCTTTAGGAAGTTGTCCTTGGAAAAAAATATGTTTGAAAAAGTTGTTCCATGTGGATGATAAGCTTGCCTTAGTGCATTCATGTTAATGTGATTCCCTCTGGTTGTGGGAGCGATATTAAAAGTCAAAGGTGTGTATTGACTTTATTTTGACACGTCCCAGTCTTCCTTTTGGTGAAAAGCCGCTGTTGTCCCGGGTCAACACGTATTAAACACTGGGCCGCAGTGGGAATTACATTGAAATTATGCCCCCGCTTTAAGATTGTCATGATGATATTCTGATTTTCTGCCATATAACCCACCTGTTATTATACTGTATTAGAAACATCTCAGAGGGTCTCTCACAGTTTGAATGACTTTCTCTTCAGGAGACCACCACGCCTCAAGTAACTGACACCATGTCTCCAGAAGAGGTAACGCACTCAAGTATCCTCATGGTTAACAAAGAGTCTATCAGGCCGCGCAATCAATAATGTGTGTCTCCATTTCTGTGGCTGCGATTGGCTGAGGCAGATCAAAGCCTGGGAAGAAGCCGAGCTGGACAAACCAATCGATATGGATCAGGTGCGCATAGACCCCTCCCCCTTTCAGCTGGTGGAGAGGACATCGCTGCACAAGGTGAGTCCAAGATACTTTGTACCACTACAGCTAATGTGCCCACTACTGGCCAAAACAACACGTTTACTGCCCGAATAAACTATAGTGTAGTATGATAGTGAGTATGATAGTTTTAAGAGATCCTTTGTTCCTTCAGGTGTCAGACTGTACAACAGACCTGTATGAGTCTTCTGCTGCTGCATACCTGAATTTCTCCTATGGGGATCAATAAAATAATTATCTATCTATCTATCTTTGTGTGACAAATACTTTTCTCATGGATAAGCTTGCGACTGAATGTGAACTCATTGGAAATGTTAAAATATGTAGATGAAATCTAGTGTAATCTGACTTGGATTGCTGATTCATTGATTTTCTTCATGTAAATCCATGGCCAAAGTTGTAGAGGCAGCAGGCTGAGCAGAGATACTCAGGCTATCCCAGGCCAGCCGTGAGACACTGTCCCTGGGACTCCCCAGGTGGGTGTCCAGGAGCCACTTGTTGATGTGAAGGAGAAGACGTCTATATCTTGAGACCTATATCTTGGACTAGTGCCATTGCTGGTCTGACTGTAACACCACTTTGAACCTACAGTATTGATTCATTCTGCTCTCAGTTTTTAATGATCGATGAGTTGATTTAATGGAGCGACAGTAGCTCAGTTGGTAGAGCATTGGCCTTAAGGCCAGAAGGTCGTGGGTTCAATTCCCACCTCTGCACCTTCTCCACCGACTCCCACTGATGACTGCTGTCGTTGTGTCCTTGGGCAAGACACTTAACCCCACTTTGCCCAAAGCCCCCGCTGAAAGATCAAGGCTATTCTCACACTCAGAGCAGCCGTCCTCCTGTGGACTCACCACCTGCAGAGGGTCAGTGAGGGGCTGGTGCTATGAGACTTGGGTGGCATCTCTGATTGCCACCCCCCTGACCCAGAAATGGATTAAAGGGAAGAAAATGGATGGATGGAGTTGATTTAATACAAATTGGTTGTGTCTCCTCAGACCCACACGCTCTTCTCCCTGCTAGGCCTCAGTCACGCGTACGTCACCAGCATTGGGAAACTGGTGGGGGTCGTGGCGCTAAAAGAGGTAAAGACAGTTACTGTAATTTGTGTAGTTCTAAATTCAGAAAATCTACATTACCTCAAACCTTTGCTTTGAGAAGTGACTTGTTTGCTTCCATATATATTGTCATGTTTTCATTTACCTAACAGTTTATTTAGTCGCACAGTGATAGTTGCCCGGTGAAAGGTTGCTCTCATTAGTTCTCTTTTTCTTAGTTACAAAAGGCCATCGAAGGCTCCACTCGCAGTGGGGTGAGGCTACGGCCGCCACTGGCGAGCTTCAGGGACGCGAGCCGAAAAGCCAAGAAGCATCAGCCGTCCACCTCGTCCACGCCCTCGTCGCCCACGCGGGACAGGGAGCTGTGGGGGGAGGGGGCACGGCAGGGGACCGTGGGGGAGATGGTCAGGAGCGTTTCTAGTCAAGACTTCCAGAGAAAAGCCTCATCCAGCAGACTGACATCTCTCTGTGACAGCGTGCCCTCGTCACCCGGAAGCAGCTCTCTGGGGGTGAGCCAAGAGGAGCCTGTGTCCCCCTCCACCTCATCCTCTCCCCCAGCCTCCCCACGCTCCCACAACCCCCCTGTGCTCACACTGTCCTCCCTACAGGAGGAGAGGGAGAGTGAGGAGTCCGACGAGCCCATCTGAGCATTCACTGGGAGGGTAAAAGACAATGGGGAAACTCCAGAATCACTTTTTAAAGTTGAGGACTTTTTACTATTCAAAAAGGACAATATTTGAAATCGAACTGTTATTTGCTATGGCTCCTAACATGGCCCTAACCTTTCATCACACAAACCCCTTGGATCCACTGAGCTCAGAATTGTGTCGTCGCTTTGTGTCAGTTCCCAACCTGCTGTTTTTGAGAAAGAGTGGCACTGTTGATCACTTAAAAACCAACTAGGTGCATTGGGTTTTTGATATAATGTCCTCATGTACAGACCTATGTGTTTGAATTAACTCAGGGCTCAGTTCATTAGGAAATCACTGTTACTCCAGCAACGCATGAAAAAATAAACTATGGTTTATGTATAATGCTGTTCATTTCTGTTACTCTTCAAAAGTCAACTGTTTTATTCCAATCCACATTGCAGTGATAAACCCCAAGATAACAGATCTCATTTTGTGCAGAAATGCAGCCTTCGTGTCATCTAAGACAGAACTTTTCCCATAAATAAGACAATAATTACGGATGTTACAATACAATAAGCTGCACTGATGCAACACATAATCAAGAGAGCGATTAAGTATTGCTGAGCTCTAATTTACTTTTTATATTGGTTTTGCAAATGATTCTCAATGGAAGTTTGTTGCAATAACATTCTGTTCTGTGTCCATTGACACTACTGACTCACTCTACAGTATCTGAATCCAAACATACGCCTGTGTAGTGCTCAAGGACACAATGGCGACTGGACTGAGCTGCAGAGCTGGTCTTCTTACTCGTGTTAAATTACTTTATTTTCTACTTTTACTCTGATCTCAGGTGCCTTCCTGTGTTTTCTGCATTCACAAATGCTTTTATTTATCAATCACATGTCTGCTGATATAAATTGTGAATATACTACTGATAGAAATTCAATAATAAAATAAAAAATAAAATAAAACGTTTGTTATAATGTTAAACTGAATCATATACCTGTATTGTGATTTGTATAAAATATTGACTTACTGAACTGTTTGCTTTGTCCAGTGAAAGATGGTCTCAAAAATGATTAAATGCCTTTCTCAGATCAGTATTAAAAAAATACTACTATTATTATGTTGTATCAATTCCTGATTTTCATTCATTAGCAATGCAAGATTACAATAACATGGGCAACTCATAAAAACATCTGGGAACAGCAGGGGCACTTTAAATATCTGTCAGCAGTGCCATGGAGCCTATGAGAACGTATTAGTGCTGTAATTGTGGCGAGAGCTCTGAAATGGACTGGGCAGCAGAAATGTTTGGAAACGTTCAAATTGTGGCGGATTAAGCATCTGCCAGTTTGCTTTGTTATTTTGGTTTTGTCTGACAGCCTGCAAGGAGCTGCATCCAAACACCGTTATATAAAGATCAGTCATGGGCTTGTAGGAGAAGAAAGGATAAGTCTCCATGTAATTTAGTGTGAAGACGTGTTTGCTCAGGCTGCAATAATTACTTATAGGTGAAATTAAAGATGCAGTTTGCAATTGGGTCCAAACTATGGACTGTATATTAGGAGTGGACGAGCGCAGACATCACCATGGTGTTTGCCGAATGTGGAAGAAGCCAATTTGAACATAAGTAGCTGGAGCCAATTTCCATATATGGGCATTTCTTCTGACTGGATAGGTGGGTCCCTCACCTATGGTCATGAGCTTTGGGTAATGACCGAAAGAACGAGATCGCGGATACAAGCGGTCGAAATGAGCTTCCTCCGCAGAGTGGCTGGGCGCTCCCTTAGAGATAGGGTGAGGAGCTCAGTCACACGGGAGGAGCTCGGAGTAGAGCCGCTGCTTCTCCACGTCGAGAGGAACCAGTTGAGGTGGCTCGGGCATCTGTTCCGGATGCCTCCTGGACGCCTCCCTGGGGAGGTGTTCCGGGCACGTCCCACCGGGAGGAGGCCCCGCGGAAGACCTAGGACACGCTGGAGGGACTATGTCTCTCAGCTGGCCTGGGAACGCCTTGGGGTCCCCCCGGACGAGCTGGAGGAAGTGTGTGTGGATAGGGAAGTCTGGGCGTCTCTGCTTAGACTGCTGCCCCCGCGACCCGGCAACGGATAAAGCGGAAGAAAATGGATGGATGGATGGATGGATGGGTTAGTGGTGTAACGGGCTGACATGTTGTCAAGATGGTTGCTAAGGTGAGATGGAATGATTCTTCAATCCTTATGGCTCATGAGGTACACAGATAATATCAAAATATAAGCTCTGAGATCATTGAACACTAAAACAAAGATTCTTTTTATCCCCAATATGGTGAGTGTGACACAGTGTGACACATTGGGACACAAACAGTCACTAAGCCAGAGGAGTTTACTTTTCAATGCAAATCAGACTATGAGCCAGTGTGAGTTGTGACTTCATTGAGCTAGTGGGTTAGCATTGTTCATCTACATACAGGCTATGGTCCCTGTATGGCCCTCCGAGTGTTAAATCACAACATATGACTTCTGTTGTGATTTAGGGCTATACAAGAAAAAGTTGTTGTTATTGTTGTTGTATTGGCCCTCAGTGCTAATGTAGTGCATTTCATGAAAATTCTAGTATAGTTTCTAATCTGTAGATTAGTCCGGCCCATCTATAAAATGTAATAATTTCAATAATCTGATATTACTGTACCAGTATGTGTCTGAGTATACCTGAATGTCGACAGAAGGGCCAATGGCACAGATTTGCTTGAGGCAGTTGGCCCCAGCTGTGCCTAAAAGTGCTGTAATTTATCACCACTGTCTACAGAATGAATGAATAATGCCACGTGAAGCATCTTTGAGTGTCCAGAAAGTGCTCTATAAAAACTATTATCAGCCTCTCTGCTTGGTCAGGTAAGCTAGAACATCCCTGCTGTAAAAGCTGCACCAAAGAAAAAAAAAATCCCCAACCATAGACATGACACGTGCTTATATTGTAACATTGTGGGTTGTTTATTTGCTCTTTCTCCATCAGAGGAAAATAAATCAAACAGGTGGAGGATTTTCTGTCGTGCAGGAGAAAAGAAGAAAGGTAAATCTGTGGACAGAGGACGAAGGATGTGGAGGAACCTTCGTGTGACGGCGGCCCAAATGCATGCATAGTGTGAGAGTTACCAGTGTGTCCCTCGGCACACTGCTCATTTAAACACTAATCCACTTCACACACTTCCACACAGCCAACTTTAGCTTATTCCACAGCGTAGACTCATATGCTCCCATGGGTTATGCTCATTTGGTGTCATAACAGAATAAAGAGTCTGTATTTTAACTTGGAAGTGGAGGGCAGCTGGAATCCAATGTGACAAAATGTTTTTACTGGCTCAAACCTACAACATCTTTTGAACATTTAAATCTTAGGTCACATGTTTTTTGAAAGATCGTATACATTTTACAATAGAACAATGCCTATTCCCTCTTGCAACTGTGAAATGTTCAAAGATGACACATTATACACAAAGCAGTTTATATAAGCTTCAACAACCATTTACAACAATGTATCAACCCTACAAGTAGTTTATACGTTACATTTGGGTACATCCATGTTTCCCCGGGGATACATGGAATCTATTTAAGATTTAAATGACTGCAACATGTTGTAATTTGCATAATCAAAATATAATAGAAGTTTGTTTTGGGTTTCTTAAACATCAATTTGATAAAAAAAAAAAAAAGAAAAAGAAAAAAAATGACAGACAATAATGGATTAAGATATTACAGTACATCTTTTGCCTCCTATGTTGGGTGCTTATCAGACCAGTAACATAACAGCATCAAACCTCGTTCCTTCTATGGCATGAAATCCATACACGTTCTATAAAATAATCTGAAGGAAGTTGCAGCATTGACAGGAATAAACAACTGTATTTTGTAGCAAATGCAGATTGTAGTTGGGGAGCAGCAGATCGTCACCCCCCTTTCAAGTAAATCCCCAAAGACTTTAAAAATACAATAACATTTTGCTCTAGTCTAGAATATATGATTCTTGGCCCTTTTTCTGAGAACATGAATGATTTTTTTTCCACTTATAGTGTTACAAACCATTACAAATCGGTGTGTGTCAACAGTATGTGTAGATAGATACTGTACATATGCATAATAACCATGTTCACTTTTATTATTATTTATGGTGTCGACTTGTGAACCCCAAATCACCAGGGGGTATACACTTTTGAACTCAGTTGGCTAGTTTTTATTGAGATAAAGATTTTTTTTAAGTTAACATAGTTGTTTGTTTAAAAAAAGAAGAAAAAAAGATGAACTTAATTGACCAGCTCATATGTTTGAAATAAGGGCCATGGAATCTTATATTTATAGATGTATATATCTTTGCCATCTCAGTATAGTATAGTATCTCTGTCCTGTTTGTGACATTTCAAGTGGAAAAGGTTGGATATTGCTGTAGATAGATCCAATAATTACAGACATTAGCCATAAACCATGAGAAAATGGGATTACTAGAGAGAGCTGCCCTCCATGTCGTGTTGAATCTACAGCCCGCAGACCCTCATGAACACAACCCATCGCACTCATGTCCCAAGTCTGATTGCCTCACTTCCCCTTTGAATAAAAAAATAAGTAGAAAGATATTTTGACTTTAACCAGACGGCAGTGATTCTTCCAACAAAACTGCAGACAGCGATCGCACACAGACATAACGAACAGACACAAGTGCACATAGAGAGAGCTGAAGAAAAGGCAGCGGACCATGAAGCATTGAGCGCCATTCCTGCACAAGTCGTTCAGAGGAGACGGCAGTAGTAGAATTGTACAAAAAACAGGAGTCTGCAAATCAGTGCGTTAACAGAGACATGATCGGTACACCTTCACATTTTTATACACAGATATTTGGCTTCTTGTTATTAGCTTTAATCATTCATTTGTATTTTCCCATCTGCAAAAATAGCAAGAAATGAACCCGAATCCAAAGCAGTGTCTTTTCAATGTCTCTTGTCATAAGAAAAATCTACATGGGTTAAAATAACTTTATAAACTCTAATTATTATCTCTCACTCACTCAGTAGATGCTATAACAATCGTTTTATAGCATGTTCTTACCATAATGGAACATAAGAACCAATAATTAAATGGTAGATTAGATTACTTTTCTGATTACAGGCAAAAAACCCTTTTCTTTTAAGGATCAATAATTCAAATATAACAGTTTCAACAAATGGATTCAAGTCATTTCAACTCATGTAGACATTTTTCTCCAAAAACATTTCAGCAGCAAATCAAAAATCTTGACTTTAGACTTTTTTGAAATTGAATACCAGAGTTCACACCCTAAAAACGACAGACTCTGTACAAGATTTCACATTTTCATCCTCCTGAAAACTAAATGTCGATAAAGAAAGGTGTGCTGTTGTGTAAAGACATTCTGTTTGCAGTTTTGAGTCCTGGTTTGGAAACACACGGTAAAAAATAACACGCCGATGAGTTAAAATGACTTGACTTCTTAAATGGACAAGGGTAGATCAACATTATTATCCTTTGAGCCGGAATGCCTAACTTATTTCTAGTAAATTCTTAAGAGTTCTCTTTATAAACTATCCAAAAATTGCCACTTAAAGGTGCATAGGGCAACTTTCCTTCCTGCTCGTTGCTACGGAGATGTTGTTTATTTGCTTGATGATATGAAACACGATTGTTCATGTGTTTTTACTTCTGAAAAAGCGTAAACTCTGACACTGAATGTAAGCTCTGATCTCCACAGATATGACATATAAGTTGCACTGTGCACCGTTAAACTGTGTCTTGATTTAAAACAGAACATTTAACTATTGCATATTTGTAAAGATGAGCCAAAGGGACACTATTTGACCCTTTGGGCTGAGAACTCTATTGGCTGCTGCTGGGGTCATCCATCTTGATTTTGTGTGTGGCTGTGCTCGTGGCCAAACTTTCATTCATGTAAATACTCCAAATAAATACTTAACATTTTAAAAGGAATGCAAACAAAAGGGAAGGATATAACTATATCCTGTTTGAAAAATAGATACCCCAGATTTAAATCTCCAAAATAATATTATAAGTTCAAGTCATTTTAATTCATTATTGATGTTATTTCTTTTGGAGTGAGTAAACGAAGAAGAACTACCAGGCCCTGGACTGTAAAAATCTGAGTAAAGTGCTCAAAACCAAAATAAAACAAGAGTGCTTTACACCACCAACTCCAACTTAGACTTTAGATTTCAACAAGTCAAGTATAAAAATAAACATTGTTCCAACATTGCATAAAGAAGCAATTCATAAATAAATTCATTCAAGTCAATAAACAGTTTTTGTCCCAAAAGTTTCTCACACAATCATCAGAGTGAGAGGAGACCGTGCTCCCCAAAAACCAAAGCGATGGTAACGATGGCAGTTCAAGTGGACCATGCAGAACAAGAAAAAAACCGTCCATTTCCCGTCATCCATAATTCCTCAGACGCTAAGCAATAAAAAATGAAATGAAAATGCTTCCTTTAATATTACTTCAATAACTTTCGCACTGCAGTAGCGGCTTCACAGTAATCGCGATGAGCAGGAAGACGCCGATCAGTCTTAAAAGTCTTCTGTCCTGATGCTGTTGTGTCCTTTTCAAAATAAATGTCATTTCCTTCATGTTGCCTCCAGTGGTTTCCCACCTCATTGCTCTATTTACAGCATCAACAATCACTCCTTTTGATCTTTGCTTTTTCCCGTGGATGGTGACGCAAACCGAAATCAGACGGTTCCGAAAGACAAGAAGCGGTGTAAGAAATCATAGTGCGAAGAGCTCTTGAGAGATGACTTTTAGATGTTCTCAGAGTATTTACATTTATATGACAGAGCGCGCACACAGGCCTCGGTCCTGTGCGGTCTGTCTATTGCTGGTTACAATTTAGATATAAATGTTTTGCATGTGTTTGTGTGTGAAGAAAGTGGAGGTGTGAGTTAAACCAGCTTTCTTCCACACGTTTCTTCCCCGCCATTGAACTCTGAAACTCTTTAGATGATGGATAGAAACATGTACTGCCCTCTGGCCTCCAGTACATTCAAACAGCGTTTATTGTCTTCATGTTTTCGCAGCTCGGCCCATGTAAAGCGTCTGAGGGTTCATGTTGTTAAGTGGCTCGTTTTGGTTGTTGTGGAAGTGGAAAGCTTTGAGTGAAGGATGGGGAACAACAGTCCAAAGGCAGCCTCTGATCTGTTGGATTGCATCGGTGCAAAACAAGATTTGCTAATGCAGCTTGGTCTTTATGTGCACATAATTCTCTCCGCCAACCTGCGTCACAGCCTCCTCTCAGCTCACTCTGATTCAGTGCAAAGTCTATAGAGCGCTGTATCGGACAGCTCCTCCACAGTAGAACATGCAAACAAAGACAGTAGGAAGCACAAAGCTCATGTGTGCCGTGGACAGCTTTCCTGGTGCATTTCACTGAAACACACCACGTAGTTATTACATTGGAAGATGTTTGGGACCGGTTGAAGAATCCTTTATCTTTTATCTGGGATAATAATTTGATTAACATCTAATATGTGGATACGCTGTAAACAGATTAGTTCTCCCAAAGGAAAACATTAAAATTTTATTATACATGTATACACTGATTTTTCTTTGTTTTTGTTTTGAGGTTTATTATAAAATGACTCTTATTATGATATCCTATAGTGGTTTGTTATTATTAGTAGATGGTGACAGGGTTCCTTGTCTTCATAAAAGCATGCATGTTTCCATCATCTCCACTGGATCTGATGGGAGTTGGTTCCCTGATGGAGATGCCACAGTCTAGTGCTGCTTCTGCTCAAGTCCTTTGGGATGTAAGGCTTACAAAGTAAGAGGAGTCCTTTGCATCATGTCCGTAGACTCAGAGTCAATGTCCCCCCCATGACCAATGGACTGAGTTTTGAACCTGAAACGGAACAGAATAATAGATACATGTAGTGTATATGTGGAAAGGAGTCTGGACAGTCGACTTCAGTTCATCGTCCCGGCCGGCCCCTCCCCCTCCGGCTCCTGCGCCTGACTGAGCCCCCTGACATCACAGGCTTGCCTCTCTGTGATTGGCTCACAGGGTGGTTGTCCCGGACTACTGCCCCCCGAGGCGTCCCCTTGGTGTGTGGGCGGGGTCAATGTTGCGGTCTCCGGCTCCATGCACAGTGTCACCTCTTCCTCCTGAAACATACACAGCTGTAATGAGACAGAGCAGCCGCTGCTGAATCATCAACAAGCACGAGAAAAGATTTTCTGAAATATGTGAAAACCATTCCATTCAATGAACAAAGTGTATAATCCGGAATTGAATTGAATGTAATAAAATGTTTCCTGCTAGTTTGCAGTGGCCTCCCTGCCTCACTGTCAGCCACAGCTTATATCATTATTTTATGTAAGCAGAGCATGTGTTGACCTTACCTTGACCTCCTCCTCTTCCTCCTGCTGCTCCAGCAGTGGAGAATGTTCACTGCCCACACTTCCCACCATCTCGTCCCCTGAGGGCGCGCACAGGCCGGGCTCCACCAAAGCTGACACCCCCATGAATCCCCCAGCCTCTGCTTGGAACGCCTCCATCTGCCCCGTATTCCACAGGTCGACCAGCGGCGGGTGCACCTGCTGCACCAGGCTGTGGATGGTGCTGTTGGGCGTCGCTTGTAACGAGTGGTTGGCGCTTTGCAACTGCTCAGGAGGATTACAGGAACAACAGAAGAAAGAGAAGAGATCAGAGAGAGAATACAGCGCATAAACATTAGAAACATGCACGTTAAATGTGCCGCCTCGGGGCTGCTGAAGATGGATGCTGCTGTGCTGCAGCAACAGTCCACATGTGCCTGTGCAGAGCGCCCCCACCTGTTGCTGCTGGTACTGCAGCAGCTGCTGTTGCTGGTAGTGCTGCAGCTGCTGCAACTGCTGGAGCTGGTTCTGCTGCTGGAGGCTGAACGGCTGCTGCTGCAGGAAGTGCGTGCCCTGTCCCTCGTAGCCCTCAGGCCCCATGACGAAAGAGCCGGTCGGAGGAGAGGTCACAGCAGAGGAGTTGGAGTTGATGGGGTCCCAGGCCTCAGAAGACGACAGGCAGTAGTGTCCCTGTGAGACGTAGGAGTGTGGCCAAACCTCCGCCGCTGTGTGCTGCAAAATCTGATCTGAAAAAGAAACAGCAGATGGAGTTGAACTGTATCTGAACATCTCTGATTGAAGCTTTCAGCACTTAAACTGTTCCAGGCTTCTGAACACACAAGTTACAGCCAGAATCAACTTTATGTGCTGGCTCTTGATCGCATCTGTTCAGGAGGGAAGTTTGACTGGAGGCTAAATACAAACGATGCACCTCAGCAAGTTTTATAACAGAACTATGCATTTTGAACAATGACGCACACTTGACACACTGCATTTTAAAATACTTCAGGCAACTCTGTGTTCTCAAGAGAGGAGTAGAAACCAAGCCTACCAGTAAACACACCTACTCCCGCTTATTAAAACAGCTAAATGAAATAATTTTATGCTAATAGTTTAATAAAACTTAATAGTCTGTGGAGGCACAACAAAGCTCATTGCAAGACTCATTAAAATCAAGCATACGGCACGGCTAATGTCAAAGGACCACGGATTAGCATTGAAGAGACGCTAATGTAGGGAAATACACTGAAAAACATATATTGAGATGACAATTGAAACAGATGCCTTTTTCCTTCAGTGATAGGAATAATGAGCATGCCTGCAGCCACATAAAAGGGAACAGTGTGTCCTCATTACTGACACGTGTGATGCTGCTAACGTATGTGTTAATGCCACTGACACCGCAACTGCTTTACTGGATTTAAACTCATGAGATGTAGGGTCAGTCATCCAATTCTTTCATTTCTACATTTTGATTTTTTTCCCCGCCTTCAGTTTTTATCGGTTCGGTCAGACAGAACCGCAGACAGAACTGTTTTGTTTTTCTGTTGACCTTGAGTATTTGAAGATAAGCAGATCATCAACAAACAGATAGAAATTTGAATGTTGCTTTGAATATACGACATGGGAAAAGATATATTGTCAAAGTCTGTCGGAGTCACAGAAGTCTTTATTCATTGACTAAATAACTAACTATCACACAGAGAAAACACAGATGTGATGTCATACGGACATAAATTGAACCGGACATAGAGTTTATATGGAGAAAACATGAAGATCGTTGAAGATAGAGAAACGTGTGACCTGATTCCTATGAGGCATGAGTGCTAACCACTCTACAATCCAGGGTTGTCAAAAGCATTGAAAATCAGATACAAATTGATTCTAAAAATATAAACTAATGGAAGTATAGATGCTAAAATCAAATTGCATGGACAGTACAAACTAGATATTTCGGATAAGGATTTACAACCAGTACAAAAACCTCAATAGAAGCACGTTTGTTTTGTACTATTGTGTGAGAAATTTCAGTGTGACATTTTTAAATCACCTTGGTATCAAAATTAGGAATATCGAATGTATTCATGAGAATTGAAATCGAATTTGACATTTCAGCTGAAGGCAACATTAATACGAACACATTTTCTGTTAGAATAAAATACTATGAAGTCAGTCACAAAAATATCCAAGGACATTTTTGCACGCTCAAATTTGATTAAAGAGAAAAATCATTTAGTCAAAAGAGCAATGATAAAGAATTGAACATGAATAAAAGCCCATAGACGTCACGCCACTGCATTTCCTCCATGGGGTTGTGCTTGTCTGAGCTCGGCCATGTTCGACCTTGAGCTGCCCTACCTCGGCTGGTGATGCTCTCCTGGTTGATTTCACTCAGATGTGCGACGCTCCCTTGGTTGGACCCCGACCTTGGACTTTCTCCGTCCATAGACGTCCAGGCCATGAGAGTCGCTTGTGAAATCGCAAACTGCTGCAAGATGCCTGCGGGATAATAAACGAAAGCTCTTTGAGAGGAGCATGGGGGGCTAAGCAACAGCATAATAATAATAATAATCCTATTTTGAGTAGCAATGATACTAGCTACTGATTATATTTTTATTTCAAGATGGTCTTCTAGATATTACAAATACATCTGTACTGTATAGTATTATTTACACCTTTATTTAATGATTATGCTGATGCAACACAACCAATCATTCACACCACAAAGGTTGTACCAGCTCATTTACAATAAAAACAATATTATTCAATTATTTTACTGGGGATGCTTTAAAGATGCATTCATTTATTAGAATAGGACAGAATGTATGAAAGTATATCTTGACTGCATACTTCCAGCACAGACTTTTGTTCTCATTATAAGTGATAGAAGAGAACAGGTTTTCTTATAATACTTTTACTTTTACGAGACTCTTTCTTTTGGGCCAACAACATATTATTTGTGAAACAAATAAAACAGGTACCCCAGCTATAAGGAAGCATTACTGCTTTGGGCACATTCGTCCACTCGACAATCATTCCAGATATGTAAGGCTGGGATCTGCGTATTCAATTGTTTACTGGTTGGAGCAGTAGAAATCTCCCATTTTAAACCATCCATTATTCTCAGTGGCCTCTTATCCCAGAACCACACTGTCAAAAGTAATGGAGTCTCTATCCTCTTCTATGGCATTTCCAATCACCGCCAATCACTTACTGTACACACCACAATCCTATTCACACAGTTTAGGCAAAGGGTATTTCTGAAAGCCACAAGATTAAAGCCGTTGTACCAAACTTTTTCCATCATAAATAATACATTTTGTTTTTACAATTATTGGTAGCAAATCTGACCACAAGAAAAATATAACATTTATTCATCTTATTTGAAAACATTATATTTATCTCCTTTTCACTTTTCTTTTCTCCTAAAAGGCTGCTCTAAAGATGTAATAGAGGCCAAAAATACATGCACGTGAAGACTAGGGATAGAACCAGGCTGTTTTGAGAAGACTGGTTGTATTCCATAGTTGATTTTCGGTACCCCAGCTTTAAGTAACCTGTAACAGAGTCTTGATTATCTGAGGAATAGAATAGAACAGCCACATATACTAATCTTAAATAATCCTTGCTTGGATTTTTAAATGTTACTCTTCACTTGCAGCATTGATAATGAAAGGTTAATATGGCTACCATGGCAAGTTATACACAATTTGAAGGCTAATTCTCTCAAAGTATTTTTCAAACTCTGAACCTACATCATTTATAATACACAATGGAGAGAATGTTGCCCAAAAAACTTTTACACCTGTTTTGACCATTACGTCTTTCTTCGTGCTTTATTAAGGCTGTGAATTGTGAATCTATTATGAAAAGTGTACAAATAAACCAAACCTGCAGCAAAGCGCGCCTCCTTCTCCCCATCGCTCAGGTCGCTGTAGGCGTCGTTCTCCAGCCGCCGTGCCTTCTCCTCCTCCTGGGTGTTGATGCGAGCCTGTGGACCCCCCACCGTCGTCATGCCCCAGTTCTGCCACTCGATCATGTGTGCCACGCGGCCCTGAGCCATGGCCGTGGGTTTGGTGACCCTCTCCTTCATGGTCCGGGAGACTCCTGCAATAGTGGGGTGTCGCCCGGGGGAGGAAGACATTCAAGTTTATTACAAGAGAAAAATGGATGACTCAGGAATAATGGGAGCGCGGGGAATGGAGACGGATGAGGAATGAGGTTGTGGTGAAAATGAGAACTTGGTGTGGTAGGATGGATGGACTGTTGCTTTAAAACATTATGTATTGCATTATCACAGTCGGTGGGGTGACAAGACTTTACGTGCTTTTAAAAGACTTCACCAATTTTTGTATTTGTATTTTATTTGTAAAGTTGCTTCTTTTATTCGTAAAGTTGCTTCCGTTATTAATTTTTTTTCTTTGTTCTTATTAAAGTTTAAGATGAGCTAAGATAAGATAAACATTATTGATCATTGGCAAAGTCTATGTCATCCATTCTAATCTAAATTATAATCTAATCTAAATGCATAACATGCCACTAACTTGAGCAATTATCAACTTAAATTAACAAATTTTTCTTTCACTTTTTACACATTCCATTAATTCAGTCATTTTTTATCATCTATAATTGTTTTGCAAAACAGTCTTTAACAACTGTATACAGATTGTCAAGTGAAATTAAACTAAACTCTGAAAGAAATCTCAATAGCAATGATAAGCTTTTTATTTTTTTTTAATTTTTTTTTTAACTTTATTGTGGTAACACACAAAAACAGAACATGAACATTATCCTGAGACTGGGCTTAATAAATCATTCACTCATAAAAATAAATAAAAATAGAAGAAAAATAAAAAAAGAGGGCCTAGGTTAATGTCCTATTTAAGAAAGGTAATCAGAGGAGCCCATCTTCTTTCGAAGATGTGGTTCTTTAGTTGCAGTTGTGCTGTCAATCGTTCCATCAAATAAACCTGTCTTGTCCTTTGTATCCATTGTGTAATTGTTGGCGGCTCAGGTTTTAACCAACAAATTGTTATCATTTTCCTTGCTGTCATTAAGAGTACATGAAGAAGAAATCTTTGGTCAGGGGTCAGATGATCTGGAAAGATGTCCAATAAAAATATTTGGGAGTCCAAAGAAATGCTCACTTTTAGTACATCTTCCAAAACGTCCTTAATGTTCCTCCAAAAGTTATGTATTTTAGGACAATCCCAGAACATGTGAGTGTGATCTCCGACAAGTCCACAGTTTCTCCAGCATTTGTAACTCCTGTTACTCTTGGTTAGGAAGGATTTCAATGGAGTCCTAAAAAATCTGGTTTTCATCTTCCAATCAAACTCCTTCCAGACCTGACTACTCACACCCTTATGACAACCAGAAAAAATGTCAGCCCACACATCATCATCCAAGGTAACATTCAACTCCATTTCCCATTGCTGTTTTATGTGATGTGTGTTATCTGACATGTCCATAAGCATTTTTCTGTACATCAAGGAGACTTGTTTTTTCATTACCCCACCATTTTCAATCAGATTGATAAAATGTTTCTCTATATTTGGAGAGTCTCTTCTAGTCAGCTCCCAATCATCATGTTTCATTACATAGCTCCTTATTTGTAAATACTTATATAGATCACTTGAATGCAACTTGAACTTTGCTCTTATTTGGGCAAAGGTTTTAATAACTGTTCCTTCAAACAGCTGATTGATTGTCAGGAGACCCCCCTCTGCCCACCTCTGAAAGCCACCGCCGTCTGATAAAGATGGAAGGAATTCAATATTTCTATGAATAGTCATAGCTCGAGATAGAGCAACCTTTCCCTTTAATTTCTTTTGGATCGTATTCCAACATTTTAATGTACATTTGACCCATATATTTGTGATTATTATTTTTTTCTGAGACTGCAGGCTAAGAAATGGGAGCTGAGAGAGAGGGATCCCCGGCACAGAATATTCTTCCATAGATACCCACTGTGAATCCAAATTGCGAATGATCCATGCCACCAGAGCTTTCATTTGGGCAGCCCAATAATATAATTTGAAGTTAGGCCAATTTAAGCCACCGGATTCTTTAGAAGACATTAAAATTTTAAGACGTACTCTTGGTCTTTTGTTCTGCCAAATGAACTTTGACATTAATCTGTCTAAAGATTTGAAAGTAGAATGTGGTATAACAATAGGGAGGTTTTGAAATAGAAATAAAACTCTAGGAAGAACATTCATCCTTATACATTCAATTCTCCCCAAAAGGGAAAGAGGTAGTACATCCCATCTATTTAAGTCAGTTCTAACTTCTTTTAATAATTTGTCATAATTGGATGAGAACAACTGTGTGGTCTTTGGAGTCAAAATTATTCCTAGATATCTGAACCCTTGTTTGGAGTGTCTGAATGAGACAAGATTATCCAACTGCACTGGCCAAGCTCCAACAATCATTTGAGCTTCAGATTTATTTGTATTTATTTTATATCCCGATATCATACTATACTCCTTAACACTGTGAAGCAAGGCTGGTACAGAAGTGATAGGGTTTTCCAGAAATAATAGAATATCATCAGCAAAAAGTGATAATTTGTGTTGAACATTGGATTCATCTCTTATTCCCTGTATGAGAGGATTTGATCTTATCATTTCAGCCAACGGCTCTATACTTAAAGCAAACAGAGAGGGCGAAAGAACTTCACCCTGCCGAGTGCCACGTTCAAGCGGAAAAAAACTTGAGCAATGCCCATTAACCCTTACACGTGACCTTGGGTTTTTATAAAAGGTTTGGACCCACCCAATGAATGTCTCATTGAAGCCCATGTGCCTCAATGTCTGTTGCAGGAAGCCCCAGTCCACCCGATCAAACGCTTTCTCAGCGTCCAGACTGAGAAACATTGATGGGGTGTTCCTTTTCTGTGCTACAATTTGGAGATTTAAGGCTCTTCGTACATTATCAGTCCCCTGCCTATGGGCGATAAAACCAGTTTGATCTGGCTTCACCAGTCTTCCAATATAGTTTTGTATTCTGTTTGCAATGATGGCAGTGAGTATCTTTAGATCAACACAAAGGAGACTGATGGGGCGATAAGATGCACACAAAGTGGGGTCCTTACCATCTTTATGAATGACACTAATAATAGCTTCCGACCATGACTGAGGAGGATCACCCTTTGAAAGTGCATAGTTGTAGACTTTATCCAGAAGAGGCGTGAGCTCTTTTTCAAATACCTTATAGTATTCTCCTGGGAGGCCATCCACTCCTGGAGACTTGTTATTTTTGAGTTTTAAAATACTGATTTTTATTTCCTCTCTTGTAATTGGACGTGTCACTAGGACTGCTTCCTCCTCAGTCAGTCTGGGAAGAGTCATTGAGTATCCTTATTTTGGCAGCTCTCTTCCTTGTACAATTCTTGGTAGTAAGTGGCAAATGCCTTTGCTACCTCCTTGGGTTGAGATAACAATACCCCAGTATTTGGGCACTTGATTTTATGAACAACTCTGTTCGATTGTTCTTTTCGCAGCTGGAATGCCAACAGTCTGCTTGCCCTGTTACCAAATTCGTAATACTTTTGGTTTGTGAATCGAAGCTGCCCTTCTGCTTTATATGTTAGTAGGTCATTTAATTTCTGTCTAGTTTCCTTTAGCCTATTAAGTATAGCATTGTTTTGTACTGTTTGGTATTCTTTCTCTAATTTTTTAACCTCGTTTCCCAATCCTTCTTGTTCTGCAAATCTTTCTTTCTTTAGTTTTGATGAAATAGCAATAATATTCCCTCTTAAGACACATTTGGCTCCCTCCCATAATACTGATGGGTTAACAGCATCATTGTCATTAAATTGAATATACTCTAGTAGTACCTTCTTAATGTGTTGTTGGATGTCGTCATTGTTAAGAAGAGATACATTTGCTCTCCAGTACCTAAAGTTACTTTTTGGACTCAACTTAATTGTCAGAGATACTGGAGCATGATCTGAGATAGTAATTGCTTCAATCGTACACTGGGTCACTCTATAGAGATCTGTATTAGGCATCAAAAACATATCCAATCTTGAGTGACTACAGTGTACATGTGAAAAAAAGGAAAAATCTTTTTCCTTAGGATGCAGGCAACGCCAAACATCTTTTAAACCTAATTCATCCATCAGTGCACAAAGGGTTTGAGACTTCCTGGTTACCGGACCAAAATCAGCAGGGAGCCTATCTACAGAAGCTTTCAGAACACAATTAAAATCTCCCCCCACAAGAATAATCCCTTCTGCATTGTCAGCTATCAATGATGCAATGTTTTTAAAGAAAATAGGACAGTCCTCATTTGGAGCATATACATTTAGTAAAGTAATTTTTACGCCCCCTATACATCCAATTACCATAAGGAATCTCCCCTCCTTGTCACTGATAGTTTTCTCATGGCAAAAATACACTGACTTGTTAAAAAGGATAGCAACTCCTCTTTTTCTCCCGCTTTGGTGTGAGGAGCTATATTGTTGGTCTACCCATTCTCTCCTCAGCTTCATGTGTTCCTTGTCTGAGAGATGCGTTTCCTGAAGCATTGCTATGTCAGAGTTAAGCTTTTTCAATTGGTTCAGCACTTTCTTCCTTTTAATCGGACTACCTAAGCCTTTAACATTATAGGTAACACATTTTATGTCCTCTATTTGTTATTATGATATACATTCAAATAACACAACATTGTTTTGATTCACATTTAACTCGATACACAAACAATCAATACAGATAAGAAAATTATAATGGCCCACTAGAAGTCTCAGGACAAGAACAACCTTTAAAAATGAAAACATAGCGAACAAAGTGAACAATGTAGGCTTCCACATACCCGACTGGATCAAATATGACTCCTTGAACTAAATCAAACTTGAGCAATCCAGCCCCTGGTGTATATCGGACGGAGGCTGGTGACTGGTCCTCCGCGGGGAATCACACAACGTTTGTTGTATCGCTGTCGCTCCCAGAGCTCTTCGCGTGCGACTTGGACGTGGATAGGTCCTCCACTAGTGGTTCTCGCGTCTTGTCCATGTTGAAAATCTTCTATTTTCCTCTCCTAACGTATATTGGTTTAACGTGGTAGTTGAACTCGGCGAGTGTGTCTTAGTTCTCGGTGTTGAAAAATGCTTTGATTTCGGCGTAGGTGAGAGTCGCTGGACCCCTGTTGGCTCTCTTCCCCGCTATACTCCACCCGTCCCGGCACAGCTCAGTCTCCAGACGCTCCCTCTTGTCCAGTCGGGCGTGCACCCCCAAGCCATTAAGTACCGGTACTGCGTCTGTCAACGTTGGGTAAGTCTTCACACCATCTTCCATGAAAACTCTCAGTTGCGCCGGGAACAAACATTTTGCCCTGATATTCATCGTCTTTAGCTGTTTAACCGCATCACGTACCAGCGCTCTTTTCTTCTGCAACTCCGGGGAGAAGTCGTGATCAAAGTAGATCTGTTTCCCTTCGTACATCACTTTTTTCTGCTCCCAGGCCTGTCGTAGTATGATTTCTTTAACTGAGAAGTCCAAAAATCTAACGACAAGCGATCGGGGGGCTGCTCCTGGGTTCCTGGGCTTGGTAGTGAGCGCTCTGTGTGCTCTTTCAATGACCATGTTAAGATCAGGGGGAAGTTGAAGAACAGATTTAAGCAAGTCATGTATGAAAAGCTTGACATCTCTCCCCTCCCTGTCTTCGGATACTTGATAAATTCTCAAATTGTTCCGCCGCAGACGATTTTGCATGTTTTCACATCGTGCATTCAGATCCATTTCTTGGTTCAATAGATAACGGAGGGCCCGCTCGTGGCGCTTAGCTGTATCCTCATTAGCACTAATACGGTCTTCTGCCTCCGCAGTTCTCTATTGCAGTCTAGTAAGATCTTCTTTCAGTGCACCGAAGGACGCTTCCAGCCGTGTTAAAGATAGCTGAGTCTGAGTGTGTCCATCTTGGTTGTCTTTCCTCATTTTCTCGAGTTCTGAAAATAGTTTTGACATGGGGTCGGGCATGCTAGCATCCGACGGTACACTCTGCGTTTGCATCAGGGTTAGCTGTTTTAAGTTGTCGCCTTTGTCCTTAGCCGGATCTTGTTTAGATTGTCCTTTGCCTCTTGACGACATGTCGAACTCAATAAAATATGCCGAGTTTTAAGCTGGTTGTGTTAGGAAATTATCAAATTTTGGACGGAGCGTGTCCCTCAAGCTGCTATCAACATGGCGTCACCGGAAGCCTCGATGCTTCTGATAAGCTTTTTAAAAAGAAAATCTCCAAGACTTCTCAAAAACAAGATTAATATAAGTCATTTGAGCTGCAGATTTTTTTTTTTGCAGCGTAAGTATAAAAAGAGCTAAACGGCCAAAGTTGCTGAGGTGGTGCTGCCGTGGTTAATCATAGTAAGTCATTGCCTGTTTAGACTGTGTGGCGGGAGCAGAGAGCGAATGCATCTTCTCTGACCAAGGTGCATCATGGGATGGGACAGGCTAATTGGGGTGAGGTGTCGGTGTGCCGAGAATAATGAGAGGTGGGCTCGTTGACATGAGCGTGCTCACACCTTTGCCGCTCAACTGCACGGGAAAAGGAGAAGCATGTGTCCTGCGCCTCACTCTGACAGCTGGTTAGAACCACACCTCACAACTAGACGATCCTATTCTGCTCTTACCTAGATGACTTTCCCCAGACCTTCCTTACTATATTAAAACTAGCTATAATCATTACAAGTCACATTAGCAATCAAATAGACACAAGAGACAAGAGAAACAGTTTTTGTCTTATTACAAGCACAACTCTCTAAGTTAAAAAAATCCCTGTTTTAAACTGAAGGAAAACCGTATATTTTTTCATTGTTCTGTTGAAAAATCTTGCCTCAAGTCACAATATATGCTTATAAAAACAGTAAAAACAATGTAACTTCTATAATAGATTTTTCACAGTTGGCACAACAGACAGGCTGTCCCAATGGAGAGTGGATCAAATGAAGGGGACACATTTCCGTATGGGACAAAAAATCTCCCTTTCACCTTAACCTAAGCATAAAGAACCACACACTAGAACACATTTCTGAAGCTAATGACTGTAATCCATCCACCCTATATTTTTGTAGGCCGACTGATGACATACAGTAAACCCCAGCACGCTTCATTTTCTCTGATGGTGAAGCATGGAGATGAGATTTATGAATAAATTATGAGAATATTATGGGACAACACTGCAAAAAGGAATATCTAGCATGGACTAAAATGACTTGAATGTAGAATATGGATTTGAGTGCTTTTAAAAAAACTTTAACGTAATTAGTTTGACTTGAATTAAAGAACACATATTATGCATCTTCAACTTGTTGTAGTGGGAAATGACATTGTAATAATTTACTACATATTAAAAATGGCACAGTTGTAATGAACATCATTTCTCTGGGGAAATACCCCAAACTAATAAGGGTCAAAGAGAAAGTCTTAAGTAAGCAGCTCTCTGGACAGAAGGGGCAGAGGGACGTGTTTGTGCAATACATTTCCCATATTGGATGGAATTAAAAAACAAAAACAAAACATAATTCTAGTTTAATCTGTGTTCGATGATGGAACAATGTTAGTTTTATAAAGGTTTAAAACTCAAAAAGGAGAATTTTGCATAATATGTGTCCTTAAAGAAAGTAAACCAAATTAGGTAACTTGCAAAAAACATGAAAATTATAATAGCATGTAAATAAATGATTGAAAAAAACACTCAATAATATTCTGGATTTCAGTCATTTGAACTAAATTAGATATTGACTTAGTGCAGTTTCACCACAGCACAACTACACTGCACTACACTACAAAACACTTCACTGCACCGCACTGGAGTCAGCACGACAAAGAACTATCACCCATTATGGACACCACAAAGACTCAGATAATTCAACAAAACATTTAAAATATCACCACTGAACATGAAATCTACACTCACCTGAGCGCAACAAGCTGTGTGAAGGAGTGGTGTGCTCTATGTCTGTGATTCTCAAACTTTTCAAGCCTCAAATGGGTTAAAAATCAGTCTGAATTAAGTTAACTATGAGTAACCTAAGCACTCATTTACAAATGAACGGAAGATTGTGGTATTGGAAGCACTATTGTTGTGTCCCGCTCTGAAATATAGACATTATATCTTGTTTATGTTTGTTTATGGATGGAGACTAATGATAGGGCTTAGTCCAGAACCCCCCCATGTCTAAACCACAGGGTCACTAGCTTATTATATACTTAGTAATTAGTAGTGTGGTTTTTATGTATTTTCTGACTTGGATTAAGTTATTCAAGCCAGAGCATTTTGTGCTTTCTGACTAATTTCAGAAAGTACCCTGAATTAAATAACAAAAAAATGTTTAGACTAAGACAATCCATGGATACAGTAGTTCACACATAATATAATAGCATAACAAATAAGTAAGCAGTTTTTTAGCAATAAAGTCAAAATAGCACATAAGAAAAAAGATTCGTTTTTTGCTGTATTGAACATTTTTAAGTAAACTATTAAAATTACTCCTCACTTCAAGTAGTTTCATACAATCTCGGTATATTGCTACAATTACATATTGTGCTACACTCAAAACAAGGCCAAGCTGTCCCAATTGGTCCTACGCACTACAGTTTGAGAACCACTGTTTGTGCGATCCCAGGCGGAATTCTTTACATCAATGACTTCAGAGACGAGCCATTGACGAGAGGGTTTAGCGTGTGAAGAGGGAGTGATTTTGAGGAGGAGGGGGAGTGGGAAGGGGAACCCATTTCCGGGTACCATGCTGACCCGGAGTACCAGGCCAGCATGGGGTCGTTTTACCATTTCACAGGACAGACACACACCTGACACACCTGACAGAGAGGACTTAGCCAATGCCCCGATCCCGTATGCATTTGAGTTCCTCTTCAACCGTGGCAAGATCGATGTTGTGTCCTCCATAGACAGCTAGAAAAAGACATATGAAAAGAAAAATACGAGGGATGGTGTGTGGAGGAGGAGTGGAAGAGAATGTGGCAAAATAGTGGAGAGAGGTAACGTGGACGTGAGGGTTAATTCATTCATTGTGACATAAAAACTGTATCTACCGTTACGTCCCCAGTGTTAATTTAGTGGTGGTAAACTTGTGCTCTCTAATGCTAAGTCTACGGCAAACTAAAAAAGTTGTAAAGCAGGGAGTGATGAGAGAGAAGGAAAGAGGTGACTCAACCATAAACACTGCAAAAAGGCATGAATAAATGTGTTCAAATGATTGCACTTGTTTTGAGTAGTCCATACATCTATTTAGATTGTATCTTGATTTTAGAATGGAGCAGCTGCTGTGGTCTGCCAAGAAGTGGATTATTTATGAATGATGACAATTTTTTGAAGCTGAGGTACCCGACTTTCCACAATAAATGGAAGTATACAGTACAATACCATCTATAAAGTTCAAAGCTATAGTTTTCACATGCACGCTTATAAATCTGCAGCCACACCGACCCTTTCTGGAACCGGTTTGACACACCAGCTCTATACATTCAAGGTGCATTATATAATATAGAAACGTAATGTCTGTTTGCTCGGCTGAATGTTTTTGTGTTTGTGTGTCTTTTAACTCTATCCTATGTTTGTATGTTTGTATGATTGTGAGCAAGGGACCAATGCACAATTTCCTTTGGGATCGATAAAGTATATATCTATCTATCTACAGCCCATCCGTCCGTGGGAGCGGATCCCTGATTCTCTGATATGTGTTGGCGAATTGACAACTTTGACAGTCTGAGATAACTGCTGTGGGGATTTAGGGCTATACAAATATAAATGGAATTGAATAGAATAGATAGCCCATAAGCTGTAGCACCCTCTTAGCACTAAATTGTATGTAATAAAGCTTAATCAATTGGTTGAACCTCAAATATTGTCAAATGTTGGCAATAATACACTTAATACTGGCACCTACTGCACATCAGTGGACCTTTTTATTAGTCCACTCTGTACAATTTATAGATACAAAACTACTCCCAACAAGATTAAGACACTCATTTGAAGCTTGTGAACTCATGTAGAGAAAACGTTTTGCAGTGGATCAAACAAGGAAAAGTGGAACTAAAAGAGGTGCGCTATAGATGAAGGAACGATGCCACAACACTTACATTGATTCCTTCCCATGAAAACTCTGAACGTCCATGCTGAGGGAGAGAAATAGGGATGGGTTTGGAAAGAGTAAGACCGAGGCAACGTCCATGTGCAAAAATGAGATGGACAGAGATTAGGACAGAAAACGGGGAGCCCAGTTTTCATTATTCGTTCTTAGACATGCAATGGAAATGAAAAAAGAGGAGACAGATAGATACTCAGGATTTTCAACTCAAGAAGCAAAATGACACGTTGAATTAAAGCCAGGATCACTTTAGATTAGCTCAGCGTTGCACCGTGACTACGATGCGGATGAGGGATTTGAGGGATTATTTTATATTGGTCAGAGAAACGCGCTAGCGTAAGAGAAGCCAGGAACACACACTGCAAAAAATATCAGACCTTTTTTTGACTACATCTGTCCTGCCACTTGGGCCTAAAAATGTATGAGGACAAGAAACTGTGTCTTAGAAATAGTTGTCCTAGTCATTTACTTTCACTTAGCTAAGTTACAAGCTATATCTGTATATATATAATATATATATATATATATATAATATTAGTATTTTGTATTCCACTATTTGAAAACACGAGAGTGGGAGATATATGGGCTGTGTGTGTCTTTGATTGTGTGCCTTTTGTATGTGTGTGTTTGTTTGTGTGATGGGGCGGATAAGCGTGGCCCCCTGCCTCTCCCTCAGCGCTCAAACCCAAGGACACCGGGGGCCTTGTCTCTCACATGCCACTGTTGATTAACACATTCAAGGCTGACATTACTGCTAAAATAAACATCAATTTCACCCACAATAAGTATGAATTGAAACTGTTTGTACAACAACAGTAATCCAGCCCAATACTAATGCTTAAAAGCCTGGACTGAAGACTAGGAAAAGTGGTGAAAATCTTGCTCCTGCTTATGACTCATTCACTTTCTTACATTTTAACTGTTTGTGTCAGCCACAGTTTTCCTCAGTTAATGCTTGTTATAACTTCAATAAATCCACAATGCCCTTGACTTAAAAAATGCTGTGTTTACTTGATGTACTTTATGGGCTCTGTAAAGGCAGTAATAGTCTGATAATAGGTAGCCTGACCTAACACCCTACTCTATCGTTGTAATGCACAGAGCGTCTGTGTGTCTGCGGGCTCGCATATCTCTGTTTTACAGACCCACCTAAGCTTTCGGATTCGGCAAATGTGCATCCTTTTATTTTGAGTTTGTTGTTTTGTGATTATAAGCTCCTACTCTAGGAATACAGACTTTCTACGGGCACTGCACTCGTCAATTACACTCTAAAAACAGAAATTTCACCCATTTTTTGGTCGTCGCAACCAATATAATGTGTAGTTAATCCATGACGGTCATAGCGTCATTCTACTCTGACCAGCAGTTGGCCGACCACTACCAATCATTCACGGACACACCAGACTCAGACTCTCTCACTCCACACTGAGAGAAAAATGCCCAAAAATAACAAATGCAAAGCGCTATATAAATAAAGATTACTTAATTAGTTACTTACTTACTTAGGCAATTTGGACAAGTGTCTTGCCTAAGGACACAACAGCAGTCTGTTTCTTAACAAGCTCAACCTGCCCATAGTGGAAACTGATGTTAGGTACATCATCACTAACCATGCCCCTGCCTTGTTTAGCTTCTGAGGTCTGACAGATCAGGCTTCCACATGCAGGTGGTGCCACAATCAACATCTATGCAACTTGTATCAGCTTTACTAAGTGGATGTGTTTTTTTGAGTGTTTGATTTATTAGTATAGAATTAATCATGAAAACATACAACCTAAGCACTAACAACTCAGTATCATTGCTGCTGTAAACTGCTACACAACCAAAGTAATATTTAACATCACATTTAGTTAGGCCATTGCTAATTTCGAACAAGCAGCAATAAAAACTGGGACTCCAGTCTGGAGACTGAACCTGGACATTCTCTGGACTAAACCAAATCTACAGCAGGACGAAACCTGGACAAGAGTGAATGTTATGTTAATTTTATTACATTCTTCCCTCATCACTGTCTCCCCTCCATAATTCAGGACTTTATCTTAATAATATCCACTCCGATGATTCTTGTTATTACATTAAAATGTTTACTTCAGTCCATTGCACAGACTGCGTAATCTAATCCTACTTCATAGTAAAAAAGCAGGGTAGTGTAAAGCCTTATCTCATCACACTCTCTTCAGATACCGCATGTAAATCAATAGGAGCTTCTGTCTTTCTCTTGCCTTTTGTTTTTCTCTCCTTTTTCCTGTAATTCTATTCTATTGCACACGTCCCCTTTCTTTTCTTTAGCTCGTTCACATTTTCTTTGCTGCTTTCTCTCCCCGGTCGTCAATGCATGCGATAGATTTAACACAGTTGACTGGTGAAGTCAGGGCCCTTAAGCAGCTTTTTCTATATGTGCTTTCAAGTAGCACTGCAAAAACACAAGAAACAGCTAGTGTGCCGAATATGGACCGTTTATATCCATATTTGTATTTATTTATTTATTGTAAAGTAATCCTGTTTGACATTGAGCAAATTTATTCTCTTAAAATTAGGAAAGCAATTGTTAAAAATACATACGTCCCAATAATATAAGCCACAACTACATACTTATTTACAATCATCAAAATGACCCAAACTAATTAAATTGTGCTACATCACTTTGTGTTTTCATAAAAAAAAATAATTGTAGTAGTAAACCCAGGCAAAGTGATTCATATTTTTGTGGCAGTAAATTAAAAGACATTGTTCCATTTGTAGCATTTTGTAAAAATCATCTATGGGTCATAATACAATTTTTGAATAGAAGAATTTTCCCCATTCTAAGCATGTCATGGTAAGTCTCGACAATTATTTTTTGCAGCGCTCAGGATGGGAGCGTATGTGCGTTCTTGGCATTTTCCAGTTGAAGGGCATTCTGGGGCATTGTGCATAAATAAATGATGGTCCACAGTGCATTTGGAGGAAAAGCTCGCGTTTGAGTCCAAAATGGTCGCCTCCCTCCTGTGTGTTCAATGGCACAGATCCGTTAACCAGGAAAGGAGGAAAGACAGACAAAAAGAAAAGATAGAGAGAAAACAGCTTCGACTAGAACACAGCAAAGGGATTGTCCATGCATGACTTGAAATGACTTAAGTGAGTTCACAATATTAATGTAGGTTTTGACTTTACTACTTTTTCTAAAAAGCTAATCAAAGTCATATTTATGAACAATCTCAATGTCACACTTCACAGATAGATTATAAACTATAGCCAGGCAACAGAAAGAATAATAACTGATTTTTTTAGAGCCCCCATACACAACTTAGCATTCTTATTTTTTTCTGTGTTTATCACATGTCGGTATTGATATGTCTCTCTATATTGCGTATCCAATCCATGGAAATATTATATCTCATAGTTATTCCCTATATTAACCATGGGGAATAATTGAATTAAACATTTTGGAAACATTTTACGCCAGCAGAGAAAGCTGGCTTTGAGGATCCACCACTGCTCTATTGCAAAGACAATGTAAGGATGAATGTAATATTGAGGGCCAAAATATACGTATGCAGTACTTGCTGGACTATTAAGTACTGTACTATTAAGTATGCTGTATACAAACCGCACCTGATAAAATTGATAAGAAAGTACATTCTGTCCTCCTACAAGCCGCACTTGAATATAAGCCACAGGCTTTCATCATGTAATGTATCACTTAGGGTGTATTCAGACCTGAAAAGTCCTTTGCTCCGCTTGCTTGATCCGAATCAAAAGCGGACCAAACTTTTTTCTTTTGCTCCGGTTCGTATTCAGACTGTCCTTTTTGCAAGTGAACTTTTTTATATAAACATATTGACGCATGTGACGATCGGCGCTCCTATTGGACAGCGAGAGCTCACGGAGGATAGACGCGGAACCGGAGGAAAACATTGAGGGCTCGTATGTGCAGCATGTCTGCTCTGCCTATGTTTGCTCTTTTTAGAGCATCAACAGCAGCAGCTCATATGACACAGGCGAAACACGTTGTTTTAAATATTGGAACAGCGTCGGAGAATGCGTGAGGAGAAAGCCGAAGGAGACTGTGCGCTCCGTGCCCTGTCCCACACATGGATCTATGATAATAACGGCCCTGTTCAGCATTGTGGCTAAACCATGGATCTATAATAACCACGGGACAAACAGACGCTGAGGATCAGGTAGGAACCAAAGAACACAATTCACTACATGATGCGGAATATTGCTCTTTGAGACGTGAGTCAAACAGTGTCAGGCTTTTAATAATGCAAATGGTTTGAAGATGCTGCCATTAACATCACTGTAAACTGTGAACAGTTTTAACTCCATAAGCCTGTTGCACAGCGTCTCCTCACTGCTCCAGGTCTGCACACGGCTCATTGTTGTTGTGTAGCGTTAGCAGCATAGTTAGCCGCTGCACGCCTATTTCGTCACAGTTTCTGTCTGCGGCTTGTTAAGCCCAAAAATGCGCACGTATCTTGGAGTTGTGTCGGATCAACACCGGATGTATTCAGACCTGATTCGACTTGGACCAGAATTCGTTTGGAAGCGGACCGAGACCACCTCAAAAAGTGGGTCTCGGTTCGGTTCTTTGGTCCGGACCAGGATTCGTTTGTGTGTATTCAGACCTGCATAAAAGCTTCGGATCAGAGTTCCAAACGAATCCTGGTCCGTTTAAACTGGAGCAAATGTGCAGGTCTGAATACACCCTTAACCAACAGCCGATGGAACAAAACAAAGCTGATAAACAACTGTTCAAACTGGTCACAACATGGTTTAACGGTGAGATGTTTTAATCTATTTCACATTAACATTCCTCCTAAAACTTGATGAAAAATAAAATATTACATCTATAAACTCAGCTCTGACAAAATGCCTAATCACATAAAAACATATCATGTGTATTTCCCTGCTCTTCCTTGTGTCGTCTCTCTCTGTTCACATAAACACCGGAAAGCAGGAACGTGTGCAACGTCATCATCTGATAGAGCATCTGTTCCTGCACTCCATGAGGAGCTCTAACAAAATAAAAGTACACACATTGGCCACATCGCCATACAGGCTGCAGAGTTAACTTAGAAGTAGCGGCTTATAGTCCAGCATGTACTGTAGTTCATCTTATTGAGCCATGAGGTGATGGTACTTATTGTATCAGACCTACTTGTATGGTAGCCATACATTTTGTCTTACACTAACCACGCTCATATGTTGATAATTAAGTTGAATGTATTTTGTGATTATGCTCCAAATTCAAATAATAACATTTATCGCAACGAACATTTTCTTCAAATACGATTCAAACATATTCTGATAGGTCACACAATCAAAACCAAGCTAAACAAAACCAAACAGATTAATTTTATGAATTTAAGTCATTTAAGTCATATCAGAACCTTTTGCTGCAGTGAATATGGACATAAAGGGGTAAGCGATGAGTCAAAAAAAATGCGTGGGAAATTTATCATTGCAAATCCATCTTGAGCAGACCGATGTTCATGGGGCTTGCTACTCTCTTAAACTGGTGTACTACACACTAATGCCACATGTACTGTTTTTCTCTTGCACAAAGCAGCAGCAGCTACATTCCCCCGAGGAGGGCAGGGACACTGGGGAATGCCATTTTTCCAAAGTCGAAAACACTTTGGAAAAATGCCACTGGTGTGTGTGGCTGTTAAACACTGACCTGTTCTCCATCCTTCTGCACTGGTACGCCATCTGCCGCTGGAAGAAAACACACAGGACACAAGTGTTAAGAGTTGACTCTGGTCCAAACATGAACATTTTACAGGAGAAAATTGGTTGTACAGATGGAAAGAGTAGATACGCTACTGCAGCAAAAAACAAAATAAAAACCTTCCAGGATGCCGTAAAACTGAAAGGTCTCTGAAAGTTGTGACGTGCTGATAAATTGATCACATAATACAGTTAACTAGTGAGGGAGGTGTAAGGGACCATAACTACATGACTTTTCCGGTTCAGGATCTACATGCTCGTCTAACTGGAGCTATGATTCCTTTCCTGCAGTACTGGCAGATGTTGTGTGTGTGGACTGGGTCATTGAGGCGCCCTGGGACCGCAGGGAGGCGGGCTCGGGGTGGGAGCTGAGTCAAAAGGCAAATCTCTGGATTTACTGCTTAATCTACGTTCCCCCTTCACCTATGTTTGTGATCTTTGAGTAATGTAGTGGTTCAAATGAGCGAACTGGAGGGAGTTTGTCTCTCAGCTGGCCTAGGGACTCTCTAGGATGAGCTGGGGGAAGTCTGGGCAGATACGGAATTCTTGGTGTCTATGTATTGCCAAAAACCTGCATGGCACCAGACCTGGGGCCTCATTTACACAATTTTATGTTTAGTTATACTAAAAATGTCCAGACAAACAAACTAAAACTTAATTAAAGTTTCCTTCTAGTTTTTCTTTTTTTCCTGCCTTTTCTGAAAACATCATCATGTCTTCTATATGTACATCACACATTTAAAGGTATGTACGTAGGAGGATTTTCTTGTTCCTGGTCGAACATGAAGACTATTGGTCCTCCTAATTGTCAATCATTCTGGTAAGGCCGTCGTATGTGCACGTCAAACATTGACCCGTTGTTTTTTTGGGAGATTCTTACACACTGATGGCGTGCGCTGAGAGCCTACATTGGGTTTCTACTTGACAGGTTCTATTCAATTCTATTTGGAGAAATCCATTTCAAATCACTTCCAGTAAAATTTATCTGACATAGTGGAAAAAGTGCAAATCTTCGTAATTAGTAAGCTTAAAAGTGAGCTCACATCTCTTGCACACGTTTTAGTAGGCGTTTTCTCTCGGGAGCAGATTGAGCGTTGCATATGTGATTTTTTTTTTTTTAAGTAGAGAGAATTTGGGAAAATCTTCCTGTATACCTTTAACATGAAAAGTGTCCACATAAAATGTTGTTCGTGTTCTGTAAATAAGCTTCCTGGTCTGTTACTTGGCCTGAGCAAAGACATGTTGATCCAGACAAGTGCAGTGAAAAGTTAAAGCAGTATTCTATTCAACACCGAGCTTCAAACAACATGGCACACCACACAGGATGAATATGATCCCATACTGACTCCTAAAAAAGGCAATAACATTTTCATGAAATAATGCTTCTTTAGCTTATTTTGCTTTAACTTCTTTAGAGCCCAATGACAGAATAGAAAGTTGCAAATAGTCTTACAATGTTACTGTACATTATAATTGATACCTTTACACAAGTTAAATGCACTGTATTAGTCAGTACAGAAGTTCTACCTTTCAGTAGAATACCTTTCTGTTTAATCAAACTCCCACCATCCAACGATAATGAGGCACTAGCAGATGGCCTCAGTGATATGATACAGTCCATCTAGAAAGTACTGGGCCAAAAGATCAGGTCAAAAGACCGCGATTGAAATGGAGTGTTTGCAAAAGTTCAGACTGGAAGACTTTCATTCAGTCAAGTCATTTCAATTCATCTCGTCCCAGCTCTGCTTCATATCACTAGGAAGCGGTAACCTGCCCAGATCAACAAATCAGCTGCCTGTTGGCTTCTCCTCTCCCCTAATCAACTGCTGCGATAACGTTATTATTGTGTGTGTGTGTGTGTGTGTGTGTGTGTGTGTGTGTGTGTGTGTGTGCACTTGTTTTCAACTCCTGGTGGGTTCCATAACCTGAGATTCCACTCACGTCATGGGGACTGGTTTTACGTGGTGGGGCCCGAACACCGGACCCCACTGGTCCAAGCTTAATAATCAATGGGTAATGCTTTTCTAACGGTCCTTATGCAGTCTCTGTAAAAATATGGAAAGGACCCCTGGAGGTTTACTTTCCTGAAAAAAGTGTGTTATGTGTCGGAACCCTGGTGGTGGGTTGCGGGATATCAAGGAGGGGCACACTGGGGCAATTTCAGTCCAGCAGGCTGGAGCCAATCATGGAGCAGCACAACAGAGGAAATCAGGTGTCAGGCTAGAAAAAGGTGCAAGTGTGTGGTTCATTAGGCTGCAAGAAATCATGGAGGAGCACACTGAAGCGCACGCTTACAAACCACTGGTAAGTGCTGACTACAAGTCATGACTTCAAATTGTTATATAGAATGATTACAAATTATTTGTTGTTTGTGCAGCTTAGTCAAGAGTCCCTAATTGATGAAGTCGACTCAGATTCTGACGATTTAACTGTCAAGAAGAAACCTGTAAAAAAGTATGGAAAAAGAAAAATCAAAAACACTTTTCTTCAAGACTCGGAAAGTGACGAACCAAAGGCAAATAAGATTGTTATCATGCAGCTGCAAAAGAAGAAAAATGGGGGGCGAGTTTACAGCAAGAGACACTTCTGCCTCTACTGTTCAATGTCCTGCCACAAAATGTCCCGTCATTTGACTAGAAAACATGGAAATGAAAGTGACGTAGCCAGAGGATTGGCTCTACCTGTGAAATCTAAAGCACGTAAACTTCAGTTTGATTTGATCAGGAATAGTGGAAACCGTGAGCACAATTTTGAGGTTTTAAAGGCCGGCATTGGAACTTTAGTCCCAGCTAAACAGCCAAATTGCCCAGTTAAATCCAGTGAGTTTTTGCACTGTATAGACTGTGGGGCATTGCTTAAGCGAAAGTCGCTGTGGAGGCATGTGGCCAGGTGCCGGCTTTCACAGAAAGATGCCCAGGCTAAACCAGGTAGAAGTAGGGTCTAGTCCCTCTGCTCCCTAGCCCAGCCTGTACCGGAGGGCATCAGCAAAAAGCTGTGGTCTTTAATTTCGGCAATGCATCAGGATGAGGTCACGGGTGTTGTCAAAGCAGAAAAGGGGATTCTGAGACTCGGAGAGCACCTGTACTTAAAACACGGGCATGATAAGACTAAGCATGATTACATTAGGCAGAAAATGAGAGAAGTCGGTAGGTTAATTAACGAAGCAAAAACTGCAGGGAAACTGAAAACAATTAAGGATTTCTTTATTCCTTCCAACTTTAACCATGTGATTGATGCAGTCAGGTCTGTGGCTGGATATGATGAGGAAACAAATCAATACAAGACTCCATCCTTGGCCCTCAAACTCGGCCATAGCCTCAGAAAGCTAGCAGATATTCTTGAATGTGACTCAAAAATGGAGCATTGTGTTGATGAACTATTTATTAAAAACCTCCAACGAAGCCGGCTGCTTTTTGAGAAGAGGTGGGACGTCTGTGTTTCTTCTGCTGCCCTACAGACCCTCCGGCAAGCCAAGTGGAACACTCCGGACCTGCTCCCTCTGACTGAGGACGTTAGAGCCATGCATGCACATATTGAGGTATGTCGACCTGAATATGTGCAAACCCTAATAAGTGAGCCAACGTCTAAGCATTGGTCTAAACTGGCAGTTTTGACTCTTTGTGAGGTCATCATTTTCAATCGAAGAAGGGAAGGTGAGGTTTCAAAGATGCCACTGACAGCCTTTACCTTAAGAAGTAATAATATATATTTATGACACAGGGTTACAACTGGGATCCATTCTGACATTGCTCTGGGACTGTCCCAACTTGAGAAAAAGCTGTGTCAGCATTTTCAACGCATTGAAATTAAAGGGAAAAGAAGTCGGAAAGTGCCGGTTCTTTTGACTCCTGAAATGATTGCTTCGATGGAGGTGCTGGTGGAGAACAGAAGGGCCTGTTCCATCTCTGACCATAACCCATACTTCTTTTCCCGCCCGGGCGCAGACACCCACATCAGGGGATCAGACTCCCTACGCCAGGTAGCCAAAGAATGTGGTGCGGTGCATCCAGAGATGCTATCCTCAACCAAACTTAGAAAGCACATAGCTACTATGTCTACAGTTCTCAATATGAAAGAGAATGAGATGGACATACTTGCCAACTTCCTCGGCCATGACATTCGCATCCACAGGCAATATTACAGACTACCAGAGGGGACACTGGAGCTGGCCAAAATCAGCAAAGTGTTGATGGCCATGGAGCAGGGAAGAGTGACGGAATTCGAAGGAAAGAGCCTCGACCAGATACAAATTGAGCCTGAAGGTAATTCTTGATATTATTAAAATATGTATGATTTTTTTCCCCTAAAGGCCACTTGTATTTTTATTTTCTGTGCGACAGGGAGAGCAGTAGAGATCCTCTCACAAACGGACGGGCTAAAAGAAACTTCAAGCGGAGAACCTTCAACCATTCATCCAGATGCACCCCATGGTAGTGGCAGTGCCCCTTCTGGTAAGTGTACCAGGTGGGGGATTACAGCCAGGCTGCTTGGTCCTAACCCTGGGAGTGTATATTGCTAATATATTTTTATTTCTCTCCCTAGAACGTGTAAGAAAGCCATGGTCTGCATCTGAGGTGAAGGCTGTGGAGAAGACCATGACACCTTTCATACAGACTGGAAAGGTCCCTGGGAAGTCTCACTGCCTGGCCTGCATTAATGCCTCACCAGATGACCTTAGACATCGGACATGGAGTGGCATTAAATTCTATGTCAAAAATAGAATCACTGCAATTCGAAAAAAAAATCTAAAATAAAATTCCTTTAAAATAGTTGTTTGGTTTCTATTGACTGTTTTGTATTACTTAAAGTAGTCTCAGTAAAAAAAGATTATGTCTATGGGTCCCATTCTGAACGGCCCTGTCAAAGGGACCCACCAGGTAACAAAAACGTGTATGTGTGTGTGTGTGTGTGTGTGTGTGTGTGTGTGTGTGTGTGTGTGTGTGTGTGAGTTTGTGTGCACACGCGGACACACACTGGATCGATGTATCTAAAGTTTGGCGGGTAGATGGCTTGTGTTCTCAGGCTATTCTCTGAGAGCACCTTCATGTTTAAAAAAACACAATTAATTGAATTAATCAAACCAAGTCAGAACTAAACTAATCCTGATTAAAATCTCAATTAAAGACATTCTGAAATGTTTACAATATAAATGAGATTGAAACCCTGAGGAACTGATGCTGTTGAAATCCAGCGTGACGTAAGTGAGTGATCAGGCTCATGTGCCCTCTTCGTCCCTGCTCAAATCCTAATTAAAACATTGGTTTAATTAGAGGTCTGTTCTTCTAATGGAGTTTAAACACAGCCACGGTCTCCAGGTGCCAACACGCTATCAGAGGGTCTGTGTGCAACCCTCCCCCAACCAACAGCACTGCAGAAAATAATACATGCAGTGATACTTATATTTTATAGTGCAGTTTTGACCAGTTAAAACTCAACAGGTCAAAAAGAATATATTTGTACAATTATCAGCAAGGGAGCAACGGAAACAGTTGCTTTATTGATGTATCTCTTTCTTTACTAATCCAGAACCCACACTCTCAAATACACACTGCAGAAGTGATCAAATATGAATTAAATGCTTGAATTCAGTTGTTTTTATCTTATTTAAAACAGATTTAGGAGATAAGATGTTGTGTTTTACTTAATATATGAAAAAGACAAGACATTTCTCACTTGAAATGAAAACAAAATCTTATTGACCTTCACATAAAACTCAGGTTTAGGTAGAGACCAAATCAGTTGGAATTCACAAAGGCAACCCAGATTAGAGACTCGTGTGATGCTAATTCTGCTTCCTGATTCAATAATAAGTAAAAAAAAAAACAATATATCAAACGTTTACATAAATAATACAGCCATCATGTATGAATTAAGAATAAACCAACTTTCAAGTTGTATGTAATTTAAAATCTTCCATACAGTCCCTTTAAGACACATCTGGCATCCACTGACTTCAAACTCACACTGAAAAACAAAATACCTAAAAAACATGAAAAGAAATATCAGAATATTTGTTTTAAATCTCAATTCCAAATAAGGCTTGCCTTTTTCATTTGACATCTTATGCTATTTTATTTGGATTACACTAAAATCCAAATAAATGCAACAAGTACCAAGCTTTTATTGGTGTTTGCAGTGTAAAATAGAGATGTTCTTCGCTAGAGCTAGGTATTCCATTTCCATCTGCAGTCCCTGGTTACAACATTAGACAAAGAAATTCATAATAATTTCAGAAATAAAATCTTACATTTCCCGCTCTCTGAGCCATACTCACACTCACTCTCTATACCAGGGGTTCCCAAACTTTTCAGGCAGGGACCCTCAACATGACCATGAAACAGATCTGCGACTCCCACTGCAGAATAAAATTGAAAGCATTAATAAAATTGAATCGTCAAAACATGTTAAATCCATTGTGACGTTATTCATTCCTCTAAATCACTGCACTATAATCACAGCAATGTAAAAAAATTCTGAAAATACTAAATGCATTTTTATTCAAGGCTGTTTGGTTTTTTGTCATGTCAGTGTTGTAGGGATTTCCTTTGGCTAATATTGGGCCTTAAGTCCATAAACGGGTGTCAGAGGAGAACATGTCTGATCCTGATGGAGCTGCCGGACTCAGAGGAGCAGGTCCAGTGACTGACCCACTGACCCACTGCTTCACTCTCAGCTCTGGCCTGTCCCCAATACTCAGACTTCTACAAACATGAACTTTGCAACATTACGACTGACATGATAATAATAGACACATACTTTCTATTATATTCCCCTAGAAAAAATTCAAATTTCATGGACAGTGAAGTCACTTTCTTGTTTCTGTGGTCTCTTTAGTGCCACACAATCCAGGGAAAACAACAACGTTCAGGTGTTTTGCAGTGCAGCTTTGATAGCAGTGTGAGTAATACTATTGACAAAAGATGGCGTTTACACATTAGTGCAAGTGTGATAAAAAGAAAAAAAAATATATATATATATATATATATATATTGAAAATTGCATTGATTTGTTTATTTAGATCAATTTATGTTTAGTTTTCCACATCATTTTGCATAACATGGCATTCAACCAAAAAATAAATAAGGTTGGAACAATGTTTATCTTTGCTTATACTAGATATGTTCAAGAGAAAAACATACTGGACCAGCTGTTACATAAGCTGCCATGCTCAAGCCAGCAACCCACAAATAACAGTTGACATTATTTACATTACGTCATGTTGACACACTCAATACTTCACTTATCCATTCCATAATTTCACACCTGAGGCACATTTTACATTCAAACTGTAAGAATATTATTTCTCATCTCTTCATTCTCAATTTAAAAGGTGAGGTACTTTTTGTCTCCATTTGTTGGTCCCAACAGAAATTATCTTTTTAATTTTGGGAACACATCCGACAACATGCTGTCTTTTCTTATTAGAAAATATATTAAGTTTTGCATAAAAAGATCCCTGTGAGTCACTATTTGACGCTTTGGGCTGATTGGCTGAGCAAGAGTTTTTCGCTTTTTTGTCTGAAAAAGATTATAAAAAGAGACAAATAAATACATACATGTGAAAACTGTTATAGAGCGAAGAAGTATTTTGAGATGGACTTAATTACATATAGATAATTTAAAATGTTGTAATAATTTCTGGTTTTAAAGTTAGGTACTTTAACTCTTTAATAAATGCACACAAACAATCTCAATACCTTTTTTCATGGACTCCATATCAATCAAACCCTGACTCATCATGGAGAACCACACACAAGCCAACAAACTACTTCAATCCGAGAAATGAGTGTGCCGATATGAAATCAAATGTCACCTTCAGGCTGTAAATGGTCTGAACGTTGAATCATCTGTCATCAGTGTCACTAAACAAAACTATGATTGTGTCTTATTCAAGCAAAATCACTTGAAGGCGCTCCACTGTCAGCTGCCTCCTTAAGCCTGAACTGCCGAGACCTTGACGGACGGTTTAACATTACGGTCAAGGACACAAACGTTATAGTCTGGAGAGAGGCCAGAAAAGACTTTTATTACTTTGCCAACATTTCATCTGAGAGTCTATTCAATTACAGCATTTGTGGAGGATTGTCTGAGCTATGCAACCTTCGACTTTTTGGGGTGTTGCATTGTGAATATAAAGTACGATGTGACTGTCCTCATGAATTATAGTTAAGTAGTATCTGCAGTAAATCCACTGTGGATGAAAAACCATGTGGATGAAAAACTAAACACGAAGAAAACTAAAGGAGAAGTCAAAATGCAGGAAAGAGAATTAAAAAGATGAAAATGAATGGGGCAAAAACACAGAGACAAAAACATGGACAATGGACCAGCAACAAATGGGGATGAGCAAAGGGTACATATAGACTGAGACAGGGTAAACACGTTGGGTGGGGCAGACAATCAACAGGAGAACAGGACAGGAAGTAAAAACCATATGAAAGCTGGTGTCAAAATAAAACTAATTATCAAATAACAAAAATCCACACCATGACATAGAATACACAATATAATAAATAATTTAAGAACAGACACTTTCAAGTCCACTGAAGTCCACTAAAATGCACCAGAGCCAATGATGAGTCTTCTGCTGCTGGACACCTGAATTTCTCCTTTGGGGGATCAATAAAGTATCTATCTATCTATCTATCTACCCATTCTGTTTTATTTGAGCAAAGGGTTAATCAGAACTGCTCAAAAGGAGTTGGCAGAACAAATTAGGAGAGCAATTGATTAACATACACGTGAATGTGAATATATGAAGCTATAAATTATATTACACAGTTGTATGTCACAGCTGCCCTGAGCGGGACTGATGGAAGTGAGGGTCCCAATCTGCATCATTGGTCCTTCCAACCGCCACAAATCCTGTGTGAACTGTATACTCAAATAGAAATTATCCACCATTGCAGCTAGTTCCACTACAATATGTACTGCTTAGCCCTTTTTGTACAGTACACAATAAATAAGAAATACACAGATTATAAAATATCTATCACAGATAAACAGGAAGCTGGAGTGAATACAAGGTTCTGATCACAATGCTTCCAGTCCTCTTTGTTGGCCGTATCATCCACCTGCCTCTGTCCCATGTCCCCAAACATCCCCCAGCGCCTCTCACTCAGGACTTTCCCGTCAGCTCTGAACTCAATGTGACCTTTGCAGGATTAAACGCTCCCCTCTGAAATGTGGTGTTGGATGTTACTGCCGATATCGCTTAGACAAAGCGATAAGGCCTGTGTATGTGGGTGGGGGACTGTCCTAGATTTCGTCTCTATTTTGGGCAAAAACTGCAAACTATAAATGAACATGTGTGTGGTGGACTTGTAGGTGACATCTTTGACCCTCTAATGCCAGCGTAGCACAAATTAATCAAGAAAGGCCTTTCCCAAAGTCTATTTCAAAGTAAACACAATATAGCAATCACTTATCCTTCATATGGAATAATAAGCAACATCAGGACTGGGCGGCACACCCTTGTCTCTTCTCCTCCATCTTGTTAGGCCCTAACAAGACATAAGCAGTTTCTCCTTCCATGAATCACAGTGTGGATCAGGAGCTGTGGACTGCAGTAAAATGCCCTCCAGTTCTCACACTGCAGTGGACCAAAGACATGATGCTAATGTCTGATTCACAATACACTGTGAAATCAAATCAGCTGCAGTGTGGAGGGTGTTACAGTAGTGGCGTACGTAATGGGTGGTGAGAGTGAAAATTAACTAGCCCCTCAACACACAGATGGGTTAGAAGGATGGTGTGGGCTCTGCAGCTGTGTTGTGGCTACATGTGTAATTGTGTTCTTGAAGACAATATGGGATCCTCCTCGATGAAACAGCCACACCACAGCACACAGCTGAAGCTCTGAGCCAGCTTTCCCTCCCCTGGCTCTGCCTCCTTCCCTGTATTACCACGGAGAGGCTGAATACACCCCTCAGGCCATCAGGGAGCCAGCTCAGCCAAAGGAGCGGGAAGATGAGGGTGGGAGCGAGCGCGATGGAGAGGAGCAGCCGAGCAGAACAGAGCCACACATCTGTAGCACTGCACTGTCAACTCCACAGCACTCCAGAGGCGCATGGCTGAAGCGGGAAGCACTGAGCGTCATCTGTCTTTTCACTCTGAGTGGCCTGCAGTCACAGCGGCCACAGCAGCCCGGCAGAGCAAGGAGCCAGCGGAGAGGGACAGTGTGTTTACTCAGACAGCTGCAGTACGGCAGGAGCACCAGCCTCATGAGGAGTCATGTAGAGGAACCAGGAGCAGGGTCCAGATGGCACAAGAGTCTGCAGTGAGAGGCAGGTCTCATTTACTCTCTGCACATATAAGTCATGCTCCAGCGCAGAGGGAGTATTATCCACCAGATCCAGCCGAGATGCCCCTGTCACACGGCTCATTAATCTGTGTGTCGGGTCAAATGCAGTGCATCCTGAGCAGTCATACAGTTTGAGCTCAGGTCCAGACTGTGGTAACAATCCACAGCTCGCATTGTCTTTGCACAACATCAGACATTAACAAACAAACAGAAAAGCTATTGGCCTGATGAATTATTAATGAAGATCACCTGATGGAAGAAACTCTGACTGCAGTGGTGAGACAGGAAAAAACATCCAAAAATGATATTTCTCAAAGGCCAATGCCTAACCCTAACCCTCTGATCTTCATCTTCCCTACTCTCTCACAAACCTTTCGCAACTTTACGTTTAATTGCAGGGTGTTTACTGAAGCCCACACATATAGGCCTCCTCCTGATTTGATACACACATTGAAATCTCACAAATACAATTACTCCACTAGGGCCTAAGGATCGTTTTACTTCAGCTTTCAGGCTGCTATCGAGTGACAAGTTGAATCATAATAGCACATGGACAGGGAGGCAGTAAACCTGGATGAATGTGCAGCCATCTCATGCTACAGTGGAGTCCTTGGAGACGGCTCACACACACATGGATATGACGCTCTGACACCGGCTGGGGTCGTGGGGCTTCACTCGGAGGTAGTACATCACTGAGGCATTCACCTTGGATGTGTTCATGTGGACCCTGCATCTCTGCTGGACAGCAGCCAATCCTTCACAGCCCATCTGTGACGCTAGTGCAGGGCTGAATGTTACGATGCCCAAAGTAGCATCTAGGTAAGTTAAATATAAACTATTGACATCATTAACATTCCATTCAAACGGGCAGGTAATGGACTCCACTAGAAAGTAGATCAGAACAACAGTACTGGACGGTCAGCTGCAGTGGACAAGGTACAGATAAAAAAAACAATATTTTAAAGAAAACAACTTTATAAAGAAAAAAGCAACACGTTAAACAACTTTGGCAACGCTTTCACAGCTCCACGAATTATTATGCTGTCATTATACAAATCATTATCCGTGTGTGACTAAAACCATTTAGTGTTTTGGCTGTCTCAATTCCCTCTTCAGTTCTGTGTGTTCACACTAAGCACTATACCCAGTAAAAAGTAAGTTTACTAAGTTTACTAAAGACCGAGGAGGATAATTGCTGAGTCTTTCTGACCCGCCAGCCTGTGTCGCTTAGTCTGAAAGGAAGTGGAATTTTGGTCGAAATAAGTTTTTTTAAAATCACACCACATGATCATTTTCTAGAGTCACAACCTGCTTTCCTTCCCCATGATCTACTGAAGGGTCCAAAATTGTCCTCTTTTTTTCCCTCTCTTCAACGATAAAAATATCTTTCAATAAACAAAAGCGTATTTGTAATACAGGGACAATCTTTGCACAAAAACACAAATTTCTGACAGTTCTAATAATTTTCTAAAATGCCAACATGGTCATTTTATAATTCATATAATTTTATACTAATTCATAGTATAAATTATTCCTATAAAGGAATAACCTCTGTTTTGTCACATCTCTTCCCTTGCACCAGGAAGTTTCAAGACAACCTTATTTCATGTGACTTTATTTATTTAACTTTATTTCACAAAGTAGTAGTTTGCATGATTTGTAGTAACATCTTAAATATAACTAGAGTGAAAAAGATATCATATCTATAGTCTAAAGGGTTACAGTATATGCACTGAATTCTGATGACGTGGCATTATACTGTTGGCCGACTCTAAAGCTGTAAGTGCTTTCTGACTTAACAAGTGCAGCGTCGACACTGATGCCATTCAAAATATACCTTTGAAGTGAAGAGAGCTTGTTCAATAAAAAATAAACGTGGACAGTTTTGGAGTGAGAGTTGTTCCATACTCACAAACACAAACTATAGCAACAATGAACACAGTGCCCTGAATAATGTTGTGATTAATGTGTGGAGCATGTATCCAAGCACAAAGAATAGAACAATATTTGATGACAAGCCTTGTGTTGGCGTGCTTAAAAAAGCTTGGGAACCTACTTGATGAAATAGTAAGTCAATTATGATGTATGTTTATATAATGAATGTTTTAGGGTAGAAATAATTCAAAACTGTCACATTGCACTGAGGCTAAAAAATGGGTATGAACCAGTATAACACAAACTTCTATTTTGAAGCGGTTTGATGACTCATTCCCAAACTTGATGCAAAGTAAGAAGTAAGACTGCACTTCACACAAAAATGCAATCTACTGCATTCTCCTACTGGCGGCATACATCTGTTCTCATTTAAGCACTTAAGACCTTCTCTGCACTCAACAGGCTGCCTCTCTCATTTCACATGTTTACAGGCACCATTGAGATCTCACAGATCCAAAACTAAGTGTTTTGCCAAAACAATTCTAGGAAAAACGTAAAGACTAAAGCCTTAATTTCTTTCAAGACATTTGAACAGGGACAATACCAGGGTCTAAACCAGAGCAAAAGCAGGTCAGAACTTTAAGGAAGCCAGAGCTCACTGCAGGTACACACACAAGGTCTGAACAACAACTGGGAAACACTTAACCAGGGGATGAATCATGATGATGAAAATACCATGTGTTCAGATGTAATGTCTGCATTATTAAGCATTAGCACTGATCATGCAATCATAACGACTCATTTGCATACATCTATATGAGTAAATATCAGGACTTTATTATCTATTATGCTCATTTCTTGACTATTTGGCAAAACTTGTGACATATTATTTCTTTTTTGAACAGGAGTGTCCTGTAAAAAAAGTTTCCTGATTAAATATGGACATGATCACTCCGTACAGTATCAATTAGGGCTATACAAAAAAAAACATATTGTGGGTATTAGTCCAGCCAACATGATACATTTGACGGAATGTAAATAATTCAAGTGTACACTTATGTATACGCTTGAATGACATTTACAATATTTATTTTCAGAAAATGGAGCAATATTGCCTCGCTAAATATTTGATATATTTAAGAGTCTCAACGTCAATACTGCAGTTTGTTCCATTGAAAAGCACTTTGTTTTATCACTTATAATAAAAGAATACAATTAAAATATACTATGTTGCAAAATATATATATATTGAAAAAAGTATCGTATTGTGGCTCATTTATTGTGACATAAACAGATCGTTACAGCCCTTGTATTAATAGGACTGAATTGATTCTTTAGTGGGACTTCAACAGGACTAAATGTAGGCCAAGACTGGGTAATATTATAAACAATCACTCACTAAGCACTGATGAAGACTTGGTGTTGGTACGCATTGGCAAAAAAAAAAGGCTTGACAGAGTGCCCTGGAGCCTTCTCTGTCTTTTATACTTCATACAAATTTAATTGGGATCTGATTCCAGTGAGGATAGTGGTGAAATATTCATTCTGTAATTTTGAGTTTAAAGCTGCTCTAAATGCACAAACATGCTTTTGGTTAAATTCTTGTTTCTAATCGGTCAGCCTCGTCTAGTTATGAGTGAGTGACAGGTGGATTTAACCAATCCCAGTCAAGAATCAAACTCTTAGAAGCAGCAGACAGAGGAAGTTTATCCCTAAAGCCAATTGCAGGAGGCCACATGGACTGATATGAAAGTGTCTGGAGCTGTGATGGACACTGTCAACTTATTAAACCAGTTTCTAACTATGTGGTCGGCATGGAAACAGACAAAAATGAAATGCAGAAAAGTGACACAACAGCTGAATCAACAATGTGGGAAAAGTCGTTTGAGTCATTTGCACAAGGATGATGATTTAATAAAAAATAGTTCCAAATGACATGACATGACTTGTTTGAGAGAACAAGTTTTCTTTTGTCAGTGCAGATTGAATGAAAAAAAACTTCTAAATTTAAAAAAAACTCTAATTATAAGGAATAAAAGACAAACCCAGCCCTAGAACAACTTTGTAACTGCCTCACAAAACTGTTTTCAGCATAAATCTGTATATATTTAGGTACAATAATTAGTCAAATAACATATTTTGGTTGATTATATGATGAGAAATTAACTAATTAGCAGCCCTAATGAATTACAAGTATTTTTACAACATCCAGGACGGGATTGGATTAAAATACGATTTTTGCTTTGACCAATCCCAAACCGCGCACAGGTTTTCTTGTTTACTCCTATTATCATTTTTTTCTGTGAATAATTGTTTGTGAAATAAATATGCAAAGGAAAATCAAAGAACGAGGATACAGATAAGAGAAGGGTCATGAGAAGGGTCATGTTTCCATCAGCAGACGGATATACGAGGTCTGCACCAGTCCAGGGCTATGGATTATAGGGGCAATATTTGTTTAGCGAATGGAAAAATTAGGAGCATAAAATTATGGTTTATTCCCAGTTTACACAATGTCTACAGAACCTTTATACGGCTTTTTAAATGTAATTATAGTTTTCTATTTCAGTTGAATATTTTTTCCAAGCATAAAAATGTTAGTTATTTAAATATTGATCTTGTTTTGAATGCTTTTTATTCCTATTTTCCCCAACTGTGGGACTAAATCAACTCAATATTTTGGCTAAATACAGACAGTTAAGGGGCAGATAAACTCGGACTAAGCACAGAACTGAACAAATTTGAACCTCATGAAAAAATCAGAATATGTAGCAGGACAAAATTATTTGTACAAGCCAGACCAAGGCACGTCCAGGGATGTAAGAAAAGCTAGTACTGGACAAGTTTTTGGAGCTAGCAGATAAAGGCTTCTTGGATCCCTGGGGCTTGGTTCACACTTCCCAAGTGGACCAGACTTCACTTTAATTGCGTCGATTCTGATTTGATGTGAAACCACCAAACAAGTGTGCCCAAATTCATATTGGCTCTTTTGAATCAGTTCGGTGTCCTTGAGGACTGTTGTATTTGCTTCTCAAGTGAACCGAGTCCACTTGACCAAGGGGTGTGAACACGTTATCAGTATATAGGTGAGGACAATGCTAATCT